CTGTATGGCTGTTGAGAGGGCAGTACCATAGTAACTTGCGCCCTCTAGAGCAAGCCGCCGATAATTAAATGAAAATATTTAGAGCCTATACAGTACCTTTCTTCTCTGTGTTGCAGGCAAAATTTCGCACAGAGCATAGGTCCAGGTTTTCGTATATAGGCCTAATTATCATTTATTATTATTATTATTATTTATTATTTATTATTGTTCTTAATTCAGAATAAATACTTCGTATTTCCAGAGAGTTGGTATTTCCTAGGCCTCCAACGCCAACGGGGCCTAGGCTAGGTGAATCACCGGCTAGCAATAGGCCTAGACTAGAGGAGGCTAGGTAAGCCAGTCGGAAGCAAGTCAGTGTGTAGTTTTGTGTATGAATGAATATTTATTTATTTATTGATAAAATTCAGCCACTGGGTTTTGAGATCTATGACCTTGGTACTGCTGCTGTGCTGTATGTTAATAAGCTGGTTTAGTAATGATGCTAATGACGGGTTGACATGCATTATTCTCACCAGTAAAAGGTACAGAACATTTTTAGTGATGGTCCCCAAAAAGTGAGTTTCTATCATGTTCCTCCCAGGTGGCTACATCAGATTTTTTCAGAGAGCTCACTCGAGATAATCTCCATCAAGACTTAAATTTGTGTACAAGACAAATCTCCTGTTGGATAAAATATTATTTACACCATTTTTTTTTCTGTTTAAACCAGGTTAGTACAAATGCAGTAAGATTTCAGTGGGCTCAACTAATCCAGAGGATCAGGATGGCGTTGCTTCTGAAAAAATTGACGACAAAGGCAGAGATTGATCAAGCAATACGCACCACTGAAGACATTGTTCTAGTGATGAGGTTTGGCAGAGATGATGATTCAACTTGTCTGCAACAGGACAACATTGTAATTGGATTTGTTGTTAATATTTTCTTTGAACACTGCATTTCCATGGCAATTAAGCTTGCATCACTTCAATCATACCACCTCTGCATCATCCATCAACTGAGATGTACAGTAATTTGGCACTCCAGTTAAATGCACATAAAGGGCAGTAACCCCTACTTTGTTACATATCCACTGTAAGATATAGATTCGAACCCCATCAGCAGCACTCTTCAAAATCTTGCATACGCCACCAATCTCCCCTGGCTACTGCCCTCAACATCTGAATCTACTACCACTAATAATATTAATGACAATTGTACATTAAATGGTCCTTTAAGAACCAGAATATATAACTTGCACTGTCAATCCTGTGTCATTTTATTTATCAGTGAATTTTCAACCTCCAATTGTCTTGATGCAATTGTCTTTGAGAGAGAGCTTAGCTCAGTCTGCTAAACTGGTGGTACCCACTGTGTGTTTGCTGAACCGTGGAGATCTCTAGGTCCCTGGCTCAAATCCCGTCGCTGCTCTCCTTGTGTTTCAGCTGGAGGGCTGTAATGCAAGTTACGATAGGGCCCGTGTGCACGTTAAAGAACGCAGTACATTATTGGGAAAAGAGTTGGTGATTGTCCAATCTCCACCATAAGGATCCCACTGGAAATAAGTCTTCTTTAGACTTTCGTGGGTTATCCTTGGTGTTTACACCAAATAGATCTATCCATCCCTCCGCTGTCAGTACATTTTCACTTTGGTCATTCTGTCTGCTTTCTTCTTTCCATCATTTCCTCTAGGATAACTTTAGATAAGCATTTGAATGATATATTTGTATGTCTCAAAAATGTGGTAATTATTCCTATTATTTTGGTAATACATTGAAAAATACTTCTAAAACTGTTGTATGCCCATATATACTTTCATGATGTGCCTATATATGGTCATGATGTGATGTCACCTTGACCTTATATACAGTAGGCATGTGACATGTTTTTGTGATTTCACAGCTTGCCAAATCATGTGATGAACTTGCCAAGATGGCTGCTATCTTTATTGTGGATGTAGATACAGTGGACATGTACAAGCGCTATTTTGATATTTCACTGATTCCAGCCACCATCTTCTTCTTTAATGGAGAACACATCAAAGTAGATTATGGGTAAGTACACAATAAATGTATAGTATTTGCTTCACATAAGAAACTAATTTTTTTTAAACTAAGTATTATGTTGTTTTTAAGAACAGATAAACAAGTGTTTGCAACTTGTTTTTATTTATTTTTTTTTAACCTTTACTATATTTTATGCAGCGCATAATTTAATTTGTATTAAAAATTGTGTTGACTATCAATTTATTACAGTACACCAGACCATACAAAATTCATTGGAAGTTTCAAGACAAAGCAGGACTTCATTGACCTTGTCGAGGTCATCTACCGGGGAGCCATGAAGGGTAAAGTAATGGTAACAAGTCCGATAGACAAAGCAAACATTCCTAAGTATGAGCTATTGTACAAAGACATCTGAAAACTGAACAACCAATTGGTGAATGCGCATGTGCCCACATGCTTAAGTGAACACTTAAATTTCTTACATGTGCACGTAGCCACCTATAGTCATATACAGTACCACCTATAAATTACATTCTTATGTGACCACAGCCATCATACCTACATGCTCATAGTGTTTGCTCACTAATGCATGTGCATAATGTTCATGTGTCCACATGCTTATGTGAACAATAAGACAAGTACTTACATGTGCATGTGGCCACCTAGTCGTGTTCAGTACTTACAAACTGCATTCTTATGTGACCGCAGCAACCATACCTACATGCTCATGGTATGTGCTTACTAATGCATTTGCATAATATACTCATGTGCCCACATGCTTATGTGAACACTAAAACAAGTTCTTACATGCGCATGTGCCCCACTTGGCCATGTACATTATCATACTTACGTTCTTATGTGACCACAACAGCCATCATACCAGTGGCATGTTCTCACTAATACATGTGCCCTTTGGACCATGTACAGTACTTACAGTACATGCTCATGTGTTCACTTAGCTTATGTAACCACTTATTCATGTACAGTACTCCAGTACTATACTTATTATGTGACAGACATAATTACCTTCATGCTTATGGTGTGTGCTCACTAATACATGTGCACACAATCATGTTCCCACTTAGATTATGTAATTGCTCGTTTCCATGTGTATTAACTTGCTCATGTGTTTATTTAGCTTAGACCTATGTGCCCACTTAAGGCCTGTTTATACTTCAACAATAACAATAACGATAAAAAAGCTAAGAAGCAATTGTTCATATAGAAAATAAAAGAAATAAGAGAAGTTTTTACACTAGAACGATTCGATAGCGATTTATTAGTTATGCGATAACAGCATATTTTGACAAATCAAATCAGATGACGTCATAACCATGGAAAAACCTTAAAATCGTAGTATTAGCAACGATTTTATCGTTTTTCCATGATTATGACGTCATCCGATTTGATTTGTTGAAATTTTTTGTTGTCGTATACACGATAAATCATTACCAAATCATCCTAGTGTAAAAAATTCTCATTTCTTTTATTTTCTATATAAACAATCACTTTTTAGCTTTTTTATTGTTGAAGTATAAACAGGCCTTTAGTGATGTACAGTGGATACATTGTGTGTTCTCATGAATTCATGTTCTTGTGTGCATTTCAAGACTATTCAAACAATTGTAAATGTTGTAAAATGCATCATAGGCACAGACAGTACCAGTAGGATCTGTGGTGTATATGTACTTCGATCTTTATTAGAATTGATATTTTAGCCATACATATTAAGTCTTGTGTATTCAGCGGAATACTCGCGCATTTGGGATCTGTCTCGCACTTAAGGACCAAAATCTCGCCCATAAATATATGCCCATATTATCAAATGTACGTATACTATTTGTAGTGGGTGGTAGGAGGAAACCAATCCCCATAACCCTAGGTACGGAATTTTCAAAAACCTTGCGCCTGCAAACTTTTTTGACTTGCAATCTCTATTTACCCAACATGACGTGTTATTGTACTAAATAATAATCATCCCCCGAGAGGGGTGGAAAAAATTTAACATGATTACAGTAGTCCAACCCACAATCATGGAAGTCGCATTAGCAGCACTTTGTTAGACGCTGTACATATCGGAATATATTATTGATTAGTGGTACAGTATATTTTATGTAAATTTCATTCTTAAATGTCGTTGCTATAGGATACGTATGTCAAAGTTTATATGGTTGTGTTACAGCAATTATATTAATTTAATTATTTACACTATCATAAATAATAGTGTTAAGTTTAATCTGTTGAATGAATAGATAGATTTTACATATGCAAACAGCAGAGAAGTGTCTAGTTACGGTATCAACTATTTATTGGCATTTAGTAACAACAGTAAAATACAGAACCAGGTTGTGAGTAGAGGTAATATTTCCTTACTAAAATTCCAAAATATGTATGTAGGTACTAGGATACTAAACCTTGAAGAAAACATTTGTGATTAAATTTTAGGTTGACATTACAATGTGTTACATGAATTCTAATACTTTCTAGTACAGTGTATCTTTGTGCAATAATTCAGAAATATTTTGGCTTTGCATATCTTAATTGCATAACACTCTTCACTGAGGGCAGCATTTTAATAACCCTTATAAAAATACAATCTGGCAAAACAAATGGTTTGTGTGTTCGACCACAAACACAATCTTGAAAACTGATTAGTTCATGCCCAAAGTACTTGTTATGTTGATTGAAAAGGGCACTTTTTGTTATAAAGTTATTACCATTTTACCAGCCAAATACAAGTGATGATTAGCCATGAATCATCAATAGGCCTGTAGTAAAAAAAAATGAATATTACACCATCCACAGGCAACACAAGAATTTTTTTTCTTGTTAGATTTGTTGTCAGCTGTAATCATAATTGTTCTACAAACAATACAATACTGTACTGTCTTTGTAAACATCTCAACAAACATTGAGGGTAGTATTTCACCACTTCCAATAAGTCAACAATAACGTGCCAGCTTCATTTATCATCGTCTGTGTAGCTTGACTCTTGGCCAACATTAACCTGCAGGGTGGTCTCATTATCAGTGTACCACTGCTTTGTAGGCCTTGCTTCATTGCCAAAGTAATTGTACACAGCTCATTAACTTTTGTTGAGGGCAGTGTACACATCTGGCATTCAATCTCCATCATCACCAACTTCTTCCTCATCGCTAAAGTAAGCACTTGTCTTAACCTTTAATTTCTTTGTAGCTGGTTCATAAGAGCTACTCTCACCCTTTTCTCTCAAATCATACTGGAAGAAAATAAAAGAATAATTAAAACATTGATGACAATTATACAATAGCTATGATAAAAATTTAGGTGATAATGGTGGTGGTGGTGCTGATGAAGATGAATCTGACATGAATAAAGGAAATCTAACAAAATCACTAGGTGCCTTAAATCTAAATAAGCTCACATACACTGGCATAGAGGTAAAGGTTCTCAACTTTCAATTGGGGGGAGGGCTAGGGGGTAATATGTTGTTTGACATGAAGTGTCAGCAAAGATCAGGTTCCAATCATGCTAATTCTAAGATATTTTTTTTACATGACGAAAAAAACTTCCTTCTCTTTTACAATAACTCTCTTGTTAGTGGATAGTCACTTTCTAGTTGATGGGATCATAATTTTAATTTATATTTTGATATTAGAATTTTACCTCATAACTAATTGCAGCACTTAAACTGTCCAAGGCAGGATCCTCTCCTTGCTCCTCTTCCTCTTCACTGAAAACAAAAACATAAGCACTACAGTATCCATCAGCATTTTTTCCTTATTTTTAACTACGTAAATGCCTTCATTCTCGTTGACAAACATTGCTGGTAGCAGAATACTGCATCCATTAGCGAATCCAAATATAATAAAACGGTTTCAATAACTATTAATTATCTCTGTTTTTCATTTTGTTTTAGTTAAATCAATTTAATTTGAATTTACTTTTATGTATATATTTATATTGTATTGTCATTGTATTTGTTTTTGATGATGGAGTAAGAGCAGCTTACTGTTTGGGCTTATGCCTATTACTTACTCCTGGCAAGAATATTGTATGTATACTTTTTACTCTGCCGAATAAATATTATTATTATTATAACATTTGAGTTTAACTTACTTTATTTCCCATGGTTCAGCAGGCCTGCCAGTACCCCTTCGTTTTCTATCTTTGTCATGTTTTTCTTTCTTTTTAGGAGGCTCCCTTTCACCTAAAGAGTTGCTGGGGCAACGATAACTAAGATGACCTTCAGCCTGAAATTTAACATAACCACAATTTTTTAAACATGAGAAATCATTGATGGTTTGGGACGGTATAAATTGAATGATTGTTATATTGACGAACATAAAAACAGAAAAAGAATATTGCAGTCATATGTCTAAAAATACGTAGTATTAAAGTCAGCCACCAGAGAGAAAAAATATTCTACAAAATCAGTTCTACAACATATCAAAAAATGTTTTTCTTCCGGAGCCTGACTTTAATCGATACTAACCCCACATTCATAACATCGCGATTTATCTGGGTAATTTTTTCGTCGAATGAACTCTGATGCTCTGCCATTGTCTGCTGCCATGTTACACTTCCACCTCCTTCCAAACAACTGCAAAAATAACATACCAGTAACTCATTTATGTAATTCATCCAGCTTTGCTCATTGCCAATCTATCACTTAAATTATGAGAAATCCTGGCATTCTCATAAACAATGGAAGACAAGTTTCTGTCTTTGGCATACACACTCAATAACGCTGATAGCTGGTGGACCTTTGAGAAGTACTGTAACTAATATTTTCCAAGAAGTTGCCATCAAAAAAGTTTATTTAGAATGTCTTGATTGCATTCTATCTTAATTCTATGTCATTACTGTACCTCTTTTCCATTGATTGCCCTCACTGCTTTGTGAGCAGATTCTTTGTCGATGAAAAGAACGAAAGCAATTCCTTTACTTCGTCGTTGCTCTTTGTCTTTCACAACTGTCACCCTACAAAATTGAACAAGCCAAATATATTCAGAACTCTGTAAACGCTATGATATAGTTTTCTATGAATAGCGTATATAAATACTAATACTAATACTAGAATTCAATATTGTTTTAATAACTTTAACCAAATCTGAAATTGTTGGCGCTGGCTTAGCCCTAACCTCTAACTTCCGTCTGACTAAACTTCAGACTGTATATCATGTAAGAAGAATTTCCTTTTAGAAAATACATTTTAATTACAATACTGTATATGAATTAAAATAACATGTCTACAATTCAATTTCAACAAATTAGAAAAAGCAATCTATATATATATATACTGTTTATTCATTTTTATGCATTTTTCTTTTAATTTTATTTTGTAATATAATGTAGTTTAAGATAATACTCTGGACCTTAGGGAAGAACAGTGTAGCAATACTGAGTACCCAGAATAAAGAAAGATTTCTATTCTATTCTAACATAAAAACAGCACTAAACACACACACAAAAACATATAATTGAACAGTCAACACAAAGTACATAGAAATGAGAATAGCTTGTATGAGACCTTACTTGACAACACGTCCAAACTTCTCAAAAACCTTGTGCAGATCATTATTGGTGAGTGAGAATGGTAAATTGGACACATACACTGTTGTTTTACTTGGTGCAATTCCCCCACTCATGATCTTTTGTTAGTCAAACAAGATTAACCCAATCTAATACAAAAAATAGAAAGTTGTTTAGTGCTAATAATAATAATTAATACAGTGCTTTTGGTACACATATGCTACAAAATCTCAATTGATGGCATTTGGTTCTCAGGACAGTTTGGCTTCTAATGTCCTAACTTTTTGATTTTTAGTACACTCTTCCTCCTTGCTCTGACTAACCACCAGGAACCGGCTACAGTTCAGACAGGGCAGGGTGATAAAGAGCTGTAACAAACGAAAGGTAATTTACAGGTTGACTTTTGAAAAAAAAGAAAAGATTGTAAGAAATTGTTGCCAATTGTGTCACTGTAGGAGACATGTCGTGAAGTGGATCTGCCTGAGCAAGATATCCTGACTGAAGGAGTATGCTGAGTAAAGAAGTAGATGTAGGTTGGAAGAAGGTTAAAATTAAGTATGGCCTTATTAAATATTAGGCTGTGGTTATGCTAATACCGAAGTAATCAAAATCCCAAAGCTCTGATTCATCAACTTGGCTTTACCCTACCTCAACTTAAAAATAACTCTCGCTATCTTAATGCACTACATCTCGGTGTAAGCATACGTCATACATAGGCCCTCTAGCCACTTTGTAATTTATATTAATATTAAAATTTAAAAAGCTAAAGGTAGGTGTTCCAGATTAGCCTAGCCTAGACCTAAGTGGTGCGAATTAGAATTGGTACGAGTTCACCAACACACGCAGGCATCGCTAGCCTACCCATCCTATCCTCTTTATGCTTGCTACTGCCCAGTCGGGCAGTCCTGTTCAGGTAGGCTAGCCTAGGCCTAGCTAGCTAGGGGATACTTCTCCTAGTTAGGCCAGGTCTCTAGCCTACGTGCGACGGCCTAGATAATCTATCTAAAAGCTAGGTTTGTAATAACTAAATACAAATCAGCTAAGATAGCCCATAATATAACCTTTAAATAACGTTTTAAGGATAAAAGCACGTACCGTATCACTATCTGGACACTTTCGACTACCATCTAAAACTTAGACTATTCTATTTAGTAGTAGTTGGGGTGTACATAAACATAAACATGTACTTTACATATACATGTAAACGTATTATTTTCCGTAAAAAGTAGGGCAAAACATTTATTATAGACACCCCTTCTACTTAAATAAATTAGTCCAAGTCATAGAGGGCGCTCTTTTATAAACATGTGGGCCATACAACATACAACGTGCAAAAAACTCCGAAGGGGCACCGTCTTTGCGACCTGGGCAGCTGACTGTCCTCTCTCTAGCACGATACTAGGAAGGCCTATAATATAATAAAATAAATTAGTAGAGGCTATTCTAGGAAAGCGTAGCTAGTTAGGAGGAGTCCGGGCCGCGGCGTTCCTTCTGTGAGTGAGTGTGTGTATGTAGTGCGAAACCCTGTCTAAAGACAACTGAAGAAGAGTAGGGGCTAGTGGAAGTGCGAAATCAAAAGGTTAGGCTTAGCCTTAGGCCTAGCTCTGTTTCAATAATTCAGGTTTACCTAGGCCTAAAGTGATTGTTTGATATAGGGCCTATCTTTATGTGTAGGCATAAATTAAGAATGCCAAATTATTTCACAATCAGTACTAAAAATATACATTATAAAATTCGTTTTGCCCCTTTTTAGTTTTTAGTTCATTTGCCACAACTTTTGTATCAAATAACAATTCCCTAATACACCCAAATAATATGGGCATGTCAATCGTATTGTCACATAAAATTTGCACAGCTTTAATTAGGTGAAGCAAGGCAGTGGTTAGGAGTAAATACGATACCGTATGCTATCTCGGCATGGTGAGTGTCTCCCTAGCTGTTGCCAAACCCTGAGACATACTATTTATACAAACAGGTAAGTATAGTTGCGCCTCAGCCAACCCTAACCTTTATTATTACCAAGATTATGTATGGTGGAACTGAGTCAAAATTTAAGTTAGATTCTGTATAATGACAGAGAGCTCACACAAATACTGGCATATGGGAGATAAAAAATTAACTTTGATATTATTTTTGTTCTTTTTTTTAGTAGAATTATAATGGAGATTACAAATTTATAAAACTTTGAGAATAATGCAAATGACAAGTTTCAGGAAAATTGTTACACTTGGTCGTCAATCTCTGTTACCCGGTAACTTTCATCATTCTTTACTGATGGTCACTGCTACTAGGTGGTTTATTGCCCATTCTCCTCAAGTTCCATCATATCCAAATACATTGAGTTCATTAGTGCCGCACTGGACTGAAATACTAAAGAAAGGATGTGTTGCAGATGCTGAAATTAATGTAGAAATTATCTTGTTGTACATGCTTAAAAAGTCAGTCAGAGGGAATCTCCAGAATGAAGACACAGATAGTGGAAAGGTAAATAGTTCCAAGTACAGTATTGAGTTAAAAAATATTTGTTCTTTTATGACTTTAAAACACTGTAAAAGTGCTTTAACTATATAAGGATAATTTAGATTTAAAAGTAATAGTAAACTTGGTTTTAATTAATTATAATTATATTTTTGTTACTTCAGGTGTCTTTGCTTCGGAAGAGTTATCATCAGCACGTGTCAACTGAATTTATATCAGAGGTCAATGAACTATGCCGGAAAAGAGCCCAAAGGTTAGATATAGGGGAAAGGGTTAGAGTTCATTAATGTGTACATGGGCCATATTGTGGCTTCTCATGCTTACCTGAAGCAAGAACAGGCCTCAGGGGCATGGGAAGACAAAAAAGGGCTCACAGGTCTTATCAAAAGGATTGTGCATTGTGCAAAAATGAATTTCAACTCTCGAGTTGAAGCACTAGGAAAGCAGCGAGCAATGGGCTGTGCCGCTAGCTCTCAAGAACTTTTTTTTTTTTAATTTGCAGAATGCCTGTGCAGTATGTGATTGGTGAATGGGACTTCAGAGACATGACATTGAAAATGGTACCTCCAGTGTTTATCCCTAGGCCAGAAACTGAGGTATAACATTTCGCATTACTTTTTACAATTCAATGTTTTTGTTATTATTAAACAAATATAGCCCTATTATAAGTTGTTGCACCATAGTAAATATGGTATATTTTTTGACATTCAATAGCATGTAACTTGCAAATATTATGATGGAATGAGGCTTAGGGAGTGATGCTGGATTTAATTAGAGGGTTAGCTGAGCTTTATGTTAGATTGTTACAGTGAACCCTCCAATTTTTGGGACCCTTCTAACCAAAAATCGATCTTCCAACTATTAACACTAAGCTAAGTGGAGACCGAATCCTAAAACCACCTTGAATTTTCAGGTCCCACAGCTCAAATTGGAGGGGCGAACTGTATTTTGATCCTTTAAAAAAGTGGTCTCAAATTAGTGGGGCTCGGTCTCTTAATTAGATTCGTCAGGATTTGGAATGTTTACTGTAGTATCGCCATTATGTTCATTTTATGAATTTTTTTTGTTTCCATTCTGAAGATGTTAGTGGAACTGATAAAGACTAGTGATCATCTATCAAGAGAGGATGAGGTGAAGTTTCTGGAAGTTGGTTGTGGCACCGGAGCCATCTCAATATCGCTTCTTAGAGAGTTTCCAAAGGTAAGGAAAAATATGTATCACAGAAGTCTCCCACAGTCTGCGAGAATCTTTTAAAAGTCAGCCTTTGGCATTGGGCAACTGATTATTCTAAGACACAAACAAGGTGTTTGACGAAAAACTCAGGGAGTGTTAATGAGAAACAGATTTTTGAATATTTAAAAACTGGGGTGGGGGGAAGACATCAGTTGTACAATATATCCAAAAAAAATTTAATTAGTATGGTTTCCCACACCCCTGCGTGAGCAAGGAAAGTAACCCATCACCCATACATTCAACATGTTTTGATTGCTGTATTTTTATAGTCTTGCTGAGACGAGCCATGTGCGCCATCACACAAGCAAATTTATAAAATACGATGCATTAAGAAACCTGTTGAAACCAGATCTTCCAGTAGTGGCTTTCAGCTCCTGTAAAAAAACGTATTAGACGTTTTTTCTAAGATAGTACAGCTTGAATGTATGACTTAATTATTTGTGACAGTTTGTATTCATTTCATTATCTTCATTTCTAGGCATCTGCAGTTGCGATTGATTCAAGTATGGATGCTGTAAATCTCACCATCGAGAATTCTAAACGGTATTGCATTACTTCATTGTTTTGATTCCATAGCAAAGTTCTGTAATTAGTCTTGAAATAAATTTTTACTTAGGTAATGTATTAGTATGGTAATGTAACCAAGTAACATCCATACGATTCATGAAACATACAATTGTCAAAAACCGAAAGGTCCACTGATTAATCTCAGATAAGAAAGTATAATACATACTCCAAGTATTGAAATACATGCCATCATGTTGGGATTCATCCTGATGATGACATAATTAATGTCAAAATAGTGAATCCCAACATGATGGCATGTATTTTAATACTTGGAGTATGTATTATACTTTCATACAATTGCCAAAACGCCTTAAGATTGTGTAAGAGTGGTTTGGCACAGCGTGAAAGGTTTGGTTTCCCAACCTTGAGGTCGGGGTTTCAATCCCTCGCTGTGCATTTCGCTTGTGTCCTTGAGCAAGGCACTTTGTCTGCATTGCTTCTAGCCATGCAAAAGTATAAATGGGTACCTGGTGGGGTTGCCTGCTACTTCATGTGGAGCCAGCACTTCGTAACCTAAAGGAAAGGTGCTGTATGAATATCAAAAATGATAAAAATAACACCACCACCTTAGTACAAAATATCCAGACGATTCATATAAAGATTAAACTTAAACTGAAATTTATTCTGCAGATACCATTGTCAAGAACGCCTTAAGACGTACCACCACCACCTTGATACAACATGTCCAGAGTTCCTATCAGTACTTCCGAGATTTGATTTCATTGTGAGCAATCCGCCATATATTTTCTCCAAAGATATGTGTAAATTAGAGCCAGAAATATCAAGGTAATCCTACTGCCTTTTATGCCTTAGAAAGGTTTAGAGTTTAGATGATAGTCATCTCATACATGTGCATGCAGACTGTAAAACCTTGAATTGAAGCTCTGGGATTCTTTTTTTTGTTAGCGAACTTTGGATCGGCTTCTTTTCGAGATGGGCTTCTTTTCAAGGCCACTTTGGCAAAGTAAAGATGGAGGCTTCTTTTCATGGGAATTAGTATTATAAAACAATAAATAAGGCCACTGTAACATCAATCTGTATCATGGAGTGTATTAACTAGCATTAAATCTCCTAAACTACTGTATACACCAAGCATGTTTTTAATTTATTTTGTTTCTTTGAAATTCATGTACAGTGTATGTACTGTACTATCTCGAAAAGAATCTCGAGATTAAGCCCATTGGGCTTCAATTCAAAGTTTTACAGTATCTTAAGTTGTGGCAGTCCATGGGTTTAAGCTGTCCGATATAGTTTTGGGCCAATGATAATAATAATAATATTTATTCATCCAAATGGAAATTGTATTGCTTGTAAACAGTATAAGAACCATTAAAATTTAAAATGAATAAAAATTAAAATGGATAAAAACAACAACAAAAATATGGATTTCAAAAAAATTTAGGATAAATTTTACCAAATATGAATGTTTTGTTGCCTATATATTTTAATAAATTAATTTTTCCAACAAGATATGAGGACCATAGGGCCCTTGACGGTGGCCCGGATGGAATGAACGTACTCAGGAAAATTGTTCGCTTGTCTGATTATTTACTTAAACCATCTGGTATGATCTGGTTTGAAACAGATAGTAACCACCCCAAGATGATCAAAGAGTGGCTAGAAAATGAACCAGATTTAGATGTTAAGCATCTGAACAGTTTGACAGATTTTAATCAGAGGTAAGTGTGCTTAATGTTCATTTCTTAAAATCTCTAAAATGATCACTTACCTAATGTTCATCATATCAAAGAATATAGAATTGCAAGATGTCTGACTATCCTATTTTACATGCACACAATGAAACGAAATGTGAAATACTATTACGAGATAGGGGGCACCCTATTACAATTTGAATAGAGTTTGAAACTCGAACATGTTTTCTATAGACGACTATAGAGATGTTCAATATGAATGCCTTCTACGTTCTTTTAAAGGATTCTCTCTAGCTCATGGTACTACTTTTTGAGATAGGATTGTGTTTCAATGAAACCCCAAGAATCTAACCTCTTTCAGATTTTAGATGGAGTGGAGTTGAATAGCTTGGTGGTTAAGATGCTTGGCTTCCAATCCCACGGTCCTGGGTTCAATTCCTGTCAGTGTTGCAGGAATTTTTCTCACGACCAAAACAACTCCACTCCCTAAATCTCATATTGAGATTTAGTTTGTGTAAAGCATCGTGTGTATGTTTGTCTTGTGTAAGGGATTGTCACCTACAAGTAGGACAGTGATATATTCGCTATTGGCAATCCTTGGCACATGTATTGTGTGCCTAAATAAATAATAAAAATAAATAAAAAATAAAATAAATCTATACTCTTTAATCATATGATCTTGTGCAAAACATTTGCATAGAAATTGCATTGTATGGTCATGAGGTCAAGCATGTCGCTGGTTAATTATTCAGAAATAAAGGATACAGTACAGACACTGTAAGTTTAAGTGTGCAATCTGGATAGAATGCCAAACATTATACTGTTGTTCCAACCAATCGCTTAAATACACATAAAAAATCTACGTTCACATCAAACCCAGATCCAGTCAGGAGCCCAGACAAAAAATTGTGAGTTGTTGGGCACAGAACACGATTATTCGAGGCCAAGTACATATACGTTCGAACTAACCATGCTTGTTGATTGCTTAACGAAAAAAAAACCATACAAATTCACGATAAAAAATGGCTCTCAGATACTTCACTCAAGATCTGGATTGGAAATCGTGCGAATTTGATGTGAACAGTCCTGTTCTTTACCACTGGCATCGAACCGGATCTGGTCTTTGATATGAACATAGCTTAAGAAGCTTTATCTGATAAAACATTAAGGGGACTATTACCAAAGGTATGCTTGGGCTTCAAATCCAGGAAATACAGTAAATTATTAAACTAAAAACTTTTATTCTTCAATCAAAATGAAGATGTAGTTGCAATCCTTTGCATCTCTCATTTTCTTCATTTTCTTTTTCATTCTTTTAGGCCTAGGTTTGTGCAATTATGTTACCAACCAAGCAGTGAACTGTCTTGACAGATGCAGTCCAAGCAGATGTTGGTGAATACCATGGAACACATTTAATTATATTATAATAATTATAATTTTTAACTTGTTTTTATATAGCATATAATAAATAGCAATTAAATAGGAAAAATATTATTAATTATTATAATTAAGTTGACCAGGTAGTCGATACATTCAATTTGGTACTACTTTTTGTAGTGCCATAGACACTGGCAGTCTGACAGGGGATCCAAATTAAAGGCTCACATAGAACTTGGTCTTTGTTTAAGGCATTTTACCCACAGTTCTTCCCAGGAGTACAAGTGGGTACCTGATAGCTTCAAATACTAACTGCACTGATTACTAGTTATTTTTTAAATAAATCAAATCAAATAAATAAACACCTGTATTTTAGCTAAGGAAATTATTGGCCCATCATTTAATATTAAACCAAGTACTATGTATTTTAAAGTTCGTTTTAAATTTCATTTTTGCTTTAGAGAAAAAGATGACCCAAATGTTACAAAGTTATATGAACAATATTAGAGAGTAACATTGTATTACAAAATTTGATCTAATAAAGATTATATGAATTTCTAAAGTTTTGTTTTATTTATTATGGTGTATTGTTCGTAATATTATTTTTCATTACTTTACAAATAAAATAGTATAAAATTTGATGCAGCATTAAGTACTGTACAAAGAAAAAGACGAAAAACTAAAGTAAGACTGATGAGCTAGCCATATAGATACCTGTGGCTCCAAGACAGTGGCGGCTCTAGGATTTATTTTCTGGGTGGTGGAGGGGCGCTAAGTTGTCCAACGGGGGTACTTGAGCTCGTAGGCTCGAGCTAGGGGAAGGAGCTGAGAGGGAGGTCCCCCCCCCCCCAAATGAGATTTTTTTTTAAGAATAGCAACCTCTGTATGGCTGGAAATGGCACCCTCAGACTGACAGACATGTGTTGGCTTGGTGCGGGCCTATTTTTATATGTTTTATGGTATGACTGCCCGACGAGCTCTATCCGGCGGGGGTGGGGGATTGACCTGTTCGGTGGGGGAACTTAAGACCCCCTGTCCCCCCGCTGGCGCCTCCACTGCTCCAAGATACAGAGGAGCAAGATAAATTTCTACAAAACGTCTCTGTGTTCCTGTATTTGGTATTTATTACAAGTGGAAGTTCTACCTTTATAATCTTTGTATATGATTGACAAATAAATATACAGTATGTAGGCCTACCAAAAAAACCTTAAAGTACTTCAGATGTTTGAAACAGCAGAGCTTCATAGAGCCACCTCCACTCCCCTGACCCTTTAGAATGTAGGTACAACACTAATGGATTGGTTATCGATACTCGCCTCACCCACCCCCTTCTTCCCGCCGGCGGAAAAACAACCTTGCATCTGTCATTGACAGTGGAGTCTCCCAATGGGAGTTTATTGGCCGAGCGGTTAAGTCTGGGATATTTTCGTAGGATAGTCAAAGTTCATTGATTGGCATATCCCTAGTCTGCCACTCATGCCTAAGGGAATGAAATGAAATCAAGTTTATTGTATCAAATACAGGTTTTATTTGTGCTTTTGCATGTACTGTATATGTATAAACAATTCTGGAACCAATGTAGGACCTAAGTGTATCCGTTTTAACTTCCATTTTTATACATACATTATTATGGTATGCGTTTCCATGGTAACTAGTTCCTGTTTGTGAATTTAGAGAACTATTTCATACCGTAAATGCATATTACCGTTAAACCCCTTTGCACGTACTACCTGTTCGTCGAACGCTAATTTTATCACGGTTATGTGTTTTTTGTAACGTGGTTGGCATTTAGAATCCGAAAATTACATTGATCAAATTGGGTAATTATCTCTAAATACATTATGAATGGTAACGGCTGAGCATAATCGATTGCTGAAGATCAACGTCCAACCTATATCTCTTGTTAAAGCGTGGAGGAATTGGTTAAATTTCCCCATGGTGTATGAACGCAAAGTACGTATGATGCGTACGTCAGTTGCGGCCCCACTAGCTGCCACTTTACGCGTTGCGTCCGATAGGTTACCGTACAGTAGAAGACGATCGAGAGTAGGCCTGTGTATATTTTTTGGCCACAATCTAATGAATGCATGTGCAAAGGTTATAGGACTGTTGCATTAACACAAATATCGTCAATATGTGTAACAGTAACTGCTTAGATATTCATATAAATGATTCTCGACTATCCAAGCAAATGAGCAATGGACGCGTACGCAAAATGTATGAATTCATAACGGAAGGGATTTCAAAATTTACAACTTCATTTGTCATTCATTGTTATTCGTTACACCAACTGCAGTTTCTAACGATTCATTATTACTGTTGGCCCTTTTTGTATCCACAGCTGGAGAGTTACATTATAAAACAAACAACATCAACCTTTCGGGAGCTGAGCCGGAGACAATTAATGAATCAAAATTTAATATTCAACAATTCACCAAAGGCAGCAAACACTACGCTCGCATTGCGTGGTGGACCCATTTTTAAAATGTAAAATGTGCCTTAATGACTCGGAGGAGACCTGGTAAGGTCCGTCGTGTAATATATAATAATAAGTAGTGTGTGTGTGGGGGTGGGGATGGCAGGGAGGGACTTGACAGATAGAAGGTCTATATATTATCACTGGTGTTCACATGAATTGTATTATTATTATCATGTTTAAAAATATTCACGACAGCAGCTCAAATCGTGGCTTCCCGCGAATTACGGAAACGCGACATGTGTGTGTCGATGGCTCATTTCAACGATGAGGTGTCACTGGCACTTATGAAATTATGCAGAAAGCATGAGAAATCAATTTTAAAAGCACTCGATTGTTGTTTTATGACTGAACGGTCATGGAAATTACGTTTTGTAAATAGACAACGACTAATACGTCCAATTCACTTCATTAAGGATAAAAGAGGGCGGGCGTTGATGCGCAATTAATTAGCAGAAAGAGTGCAATGAAAATATCCCTTTGTTTAACGATGTAGAGAGCTGCTTATTGGGACAGTATTACACCCAGATAACAATTTCAATATAGTATTCTAATAACATGCAGGGGCGGACTGAGAGGGATCAATGTCAGCCGGTCCGGTCGCCCTATTTTTGAAAACATCCCCTATGAGGAAAAAAGGCAATTTCATAGGTTTAAGATATTTCCAGCCATCACATCCATGCCATACAATATTATATTAAAATGCTAATAACAATATCACCATCAAGTGGGATGAATAAAGAATTCTCGTGGAATTTGGATCTGTCGTGTTGTGACAGGCGGCCTGGGTTTACAAATCATCAATTTCTCTTCGACAAATTATTTTAAACGGACGATAATGTTGCATCTTGTTTTTTGTTTTTTTGTTTTTTTTTTTTTCAAGTTTTGTTTAACACTGTAACAGCCCTACTTCTAAAAAAAACCGAACGTGTTGAAAATTCTGTTTGAATTCTTCTAGCAGCACCGTTTTGGTGGATTGGTATTCCGGAAATTAACCGAAATATACGCTTAATCGACCCACTAAGGACGGGCTGTTTAATCAATCTATTTATTCTGTAATTTTTTATTGAGGAAACAAAGAAAGTAAATGTTCATCTTAAATTGTCAAATTATGATGGGCACAAGTATAAAAGTAGGTTAATAAACAGACACAACATCGCATCAATGATAAAGCTGTGAACTTGGTCAAATGAGTTGTAATGTGCATTGAGCGCCTTTTTTTTTATTGAATTAGCAAAATATTGCTTGACGAACCATGAGGACGACCTGCTTTATCACACCATGAATGTGACAATAAACCTCCACGATTATTTTAATGCCTGTCTAAATTAGTATTAGACCTATCATCATCATCATCAACAACAACAACAACAACATTTTCATTATAATTATTATTATCATTATTATTATTACTTGATTGATTGATCATTTGTTCGTTCGTTCATTCATTTTTGTATTTGTTCATTAAAGTTGACAAAATTGATACATATAAATATAGGCCTAAATATAGGTTGCATGGAAGGAGGCTATTAGGCCTATAAGTTTTGTAAGTGAAAAACAGAGCTTTAAGATATAGCCAGTCTGCCTTTACATAGTTGGAAAAAAAAAACATTAATTCAATCGTTTGTTCATTCATATATTTATTCATTCTCGTTCGTTGTTCTCCCTTTGTTAATTTATTCGATGTAAATACGATTGTTACACAAACTATGATGCCGCGGTAAATAAAAGCATAAAAATTAAAATTACGTGCAGAAAAAAAATACGGTACGTAGGACATGCACACTGAGGCTATCGTGCCTTTGAATTCATTTACATTCATTCATTCATTCGTTTGTTCATTCGGCATAATCAATTAATCGATCGATCGGTAATTCACAATCAAATTCAATCATCTATTAAATAATTAATTAAAGTGTATAATAAATCCGAGATAACATAGGGCCAGGCGGTTGAAAGTAATAGGGGCATAAACGAGTTTATTTGAGTAGCTTATAATTAATAATTAATTAATTAAGGCCTACCGGTACTGGAACAAGTTGATATTAACAATTAAAGGTGGTTTCCAAGTTCAACCCAACCCCCAACCCCCCAAAAAAGCCGGACCAGGGCCCCCGAAAATTTTTCAAAATCATAAAGAAAGTGGAGAAAAAACGAAAATTATATTCGAATCAAAATTTAGTCTGAGAGTGCCATTTCCGGCCATCTATCTAGTCTAGCACTAATAGTTGAGGTAGGTGCCTTCATAAATGTTCTTCCCCAAAACCATGGTGGGGCTAATGTATCTACACCCCCAGCCTGGGAAAGTTCCCATGGCTCCCCTTTATTTCGAATTCCTGGATCCGCCACTGGATTAGCCAATGAAATTTAATCAAAAAAGTGTATCATGATAAAATCTTCGTGGACAAGCTGAACTTATGAAATTTATTGACCAGTATTCATCAATATATTCTAAATGCAATATAAAATAAACGTGATTTGGATGAACATTCCGAGAAACATTCAAATTCGTATCTAAAACGCCAATTCCTTTTTTAGGACGACAAAATATCGAGATTTGTTTTAATAGTTACCCATACGATTGATACGGTAGTTTATGCAGCCCATGGGAATTGGTCATCATTCATCCATTGAGCGAGCTGCAGAATCGCTGACAATGTAGCTGCCATTTCTGCTCGCACCACGAAATAACATGTTGTGCTAGCGCAGTTATTTGAATCTTTCAAATTCGTTTTTCAGTGGCTAAAATGCCGTTATAAACGTTCTTAATTCAAGAAAGAAGAGACTTTCTATAGTTACGCCCAATATCTGTGGTTACAATGAGATTTATATTTGGTTGATTTATGGACGTTTTGTTTCCGTGTCTAGGCCGGACTGACGCTTTGTTTTTCCTGTCAACCCCGCCTTGTCAGCGGAGCGGAAGGAGTGTGTCGCGTACAACAACATCGATTTTGCAGTCACGTTTTCCTTTGGATGTGAGCGTACGGCCGGTAACGCGAGTAAATGTCATTAATAAATTGTCTATATTGATAGAAGGATATTACATTACGTTTAACATGCTAATGTTTTCGTAAAATGGAAAACTAACGCCAAATATTAACCCTTCTGAATCACAAGGCTAGGTAGGCCTATCCACATCGACTTTTCCAGCGAACGTGACAGGTAAAAGTTTGTTATCTCAAAATATGCAATGCAACACAAAGTTTGAATTCATAATCTGAGGTTCTGATGTTTACCAAATGACAACGTTCGCGTTACTTTCATAGTCATTACATAAATCTGATTTCTGTCTTGGAGAATGAGCTATATTGTTTTTTTTTTTAAAATCCTTTACCACAGTGTTGTGAATGTTTGAGGGGATACCTCGATTGGAATCATTCATTATTGACACCTTATTATTTTCTTTCAGAAATTTTTATTTTTAAACTTGACTGCTTTTTTGTGATGTCACTTTCAGTTTCACCAGTTTCCGAAATTACAAATTTGTTTTGATTGAAGGATTGGATTACAAAGTCAAATTAAAATGCAGCGTTTGGGAGTGCCAGTGTACCCACAGGGTACGAACACTAATACTAGCAATAATATGGATTCATCGGGTTATGGTGGCCACAGTCCTGACCGAGGGCGCTTTCAGAATCAACCACTTCCGCCTTACTCAGCAACTGATCTGGCAAACTATAGGGTTGGCTATGAAGGATCGCAACGCTCTCTAACTGAAATCGATAACCATAGGACGACAAGTCCTGCCACTGGGTCGGTTCGCCAATCGGCAACCAAATTTGCTAACTATCAGATAAACCACGCATCTGCAACTAATCTGTCTTCACCAACTGAGACAAGGGATTATAGAACTAGCTATGGAGCTGCAACAAACCGGCAATCACCGACTAAGTTTGGTAACCATCAGATAAACCATGTTTCTCCAACTAATCACCATCAATCACCAAATGAGGCTGTTGATTATAGAGCTAGCCATGTGGTCACATCTAACCAACAATCACCAACAAAGTTTGGAGGCTACCAAGTTAGTCATGCTTCTTCTAATCTACAGTCATCAACTGAGATCGGGACCCATAGAAATAGCGATGCAGTAACATCAAACCAACAACCATTAACCCAGTTTGGAGGCTACAAAGTCAACCATGCTTTACAGTCACCAACTGAGATTGGGACCCATAGAAATAGCAATGCAATTACTTCTAACCAACAACCATCAAACCAGCTTGGATGCTACAAAGCCAATCATTCATCTACATCTAGTCTTCAATCACCAAATGAAATTTCGAATCATAAATTAAGCAATGTAGCAGCAAATTATCATCATCAGTCTGCAGCTGAAATTGGTGAACATAAGCTTGGCCATGCAGCTCAATCAACAGGCGAAGCTGGTAACAATAGAATAGGCCAAGTAGCCACTTCTAATCACACTGGCTATGCAGCTAATTCTCAGGTTTCTAACACACGACAGACATCACTGCAACATGTACACCCATTTAGGCTTCACAGGTCTTTGCCTTTAAATGATACTGAAAGTACACACTTGTTTACATTCTTACTATCTATGGACAGTATAGAAGACCTACGAACAACGCCACTGAGATCGTCTGTAGCCTCGTACCAGGGACATAAATGGTATTTAACCAGCAGCATATACGTCAATAACGATGGCATAGAATTCTTAGGTGTATTTCTGTATTGGTTAACTACACAAAACCATACAATTGGTGACAATGAAGTTGATATCAGGTGTCGTACTGATTATCGTATCATTGTTCGAAACGTCATTAATCCCGCAGAAAGTAAAATTTCGGAAGGTGCTCAGATGGAGTACAGCCCTACCATGACAACAGGCTGGGGAAAGCGTGAATTAATAGCATTTCAAGAATTATGTTCTCGAGGAAATGGCTTTATTAATGAGCCCGGAAGTTTAGTTATTGTTGAACTTGCAATGAAATCTTGCACTACCACGTTTGAACATTACATTGATGTATCACATCTAAATACACAAACGTTTCAAGATCAGCATCAGTACCCGGCTCATTTTACCCCCAATTTTTCTCTTGGTGCTTACGAGTTTTACCTGTCGGTTTACCCGCGGGGTGATAGAGACAAGGCACGAAGTTGCGTTTCCATGTATCTTCATCGTTATTCCAGCTCCTCTGACCTTTTGGGCTGCCGGGTACGATTCCGTTTTTTTGTTGGGAAACGCGTGTCACCATCAAATGGTGCAACCTTTGACTACGTTTTCAAAGAAAATAAAGGTTATGGTAAATACAAAGCCTTCGAACCACTTGCAGCCACTGACTTCTTGAATCGTTCATCCATTCTAAATGTTGGTGTAGACATTGTTTCAGTCACGCCTCTTGCTCAGATTGAAGTGCCTCTGGTAACGCGGGGATATTACCACACCGACAACTTCGTATTTGATGAGGTTGTTTTTCCCGACCATAATTTTAACTACTGGAAATTGACAGTTGATAACACAAACACAATGCTTCAGTTGAAATTTGATGCACAAGATAAATTAAAGTTACAAACAACAGATGGGAGTGAGAACCCCTGCACAAAATTCTTGCAATGGCGGGCATTTGTGATCTCGCGAAAAGATAAAAAGAAGAGTAAAGCAGTTTTGGCATGCCCAATAACAGCTTTCTTCTCAAGACATCTTTCTGATTCTCAAATAACCATGTCTACTCAGATCCCTCTACAAACAGTAAGTAGTATTTTTACAATTATTTTTATGGAACTGTTTTTTGTACACAACTTTTTATTGTCATATTAAACCATTTCATATGATCCTATTATTAAAAATAAAATGTAACATTTTTTTGTCAATCCCTTCACAGTATTCGGAAATTCCCTTTTTGGATACGTTGTTTATAGTCTTAATTTGTTTAGCTATTTGGCACTACAAACATATAAAAAATGTATTTTACCAAATATGGCAGTGCCAGAATGGCTAAACAAAGGCTTTTTTTTAACAAAAAATGTAGTTAAGACTTTATCTTTGGAACAAGTTTTAAATTCCACAACATACTGTCATTAAATAACAAATATTGATTGAATGTTTTGTTCTGAGAATATTTTAAAAAATTCTGGGACCCTGGGCTTTTGCATGAGGAAAAACCAGTACATAAAATTGGGCATACGGTAAAGTAGGGGATGGGAATACATAGAGACCCTTGCTATGTAAATCTCACATGTTCTCCCAATTGAAAAATGTTTGCATTTTATATTTGTCTAGCTAAGCACGCGCAACTTTAGGTGTTGCCACTTTTAATTGGAGTTCAATGGTTTCAAAAACAACAATACATCATCATAACCTAGGCCTGGACTGGAATGATGTTCGTTTATTGAAAGATGGGCCAGCCTAGGCTACCTACAGTAGGCCTGATAAGTGTTTTTTTTTAGTTCTACCAACACACAATTTTTACTGGTTAGTTAGATATTTTTACTAGTAAAATTGACAGCTAAAATGGCTTCAGGAGAACACTGCTATACAATTTTTAAAATATAAACAACCTTAAGAAAAATTAAAATATTCAACCTTGGTTTGGAATGATATAATAATTAATTTTATTGGCTTTAAAGTAGAAACTGCGGCACCATGCATATTTTGCCCCGCACGAGGTGTCATCGCGTTGCTGTGAAATTTTCAATGCAAGTAGGCCTGGGCCTAATTGATGATTCCTTGGCCTTACAATATTCACTAAGTAGGCCTACATTAACGTATGAATTCACAACAAATTTTGTACACCGAGAATCTTTTTCGTCAATAATTCTATCCAATTTGTCTTCGTCGAGAGATTTAAACTTATTTGAAGTCGCCATTTTCGAAGCGCTAGGCTTACACATTCACAATTCGTGAGCAATCGATCGTGCGCTTGACTAGTATTCACTACGGGAGCAATGTGGGTGTAATCCCCTAGGGGGAAATATAACGTTTCCGATCCTCGTAGCGCTGGTCACTTGATGCCATTTCGACCAATCACATACTCGTATTTACATAGGCTATGTAATATAATAGTTAGTCTGAACAGGGCTTAATGAGGATTTGACTGAACATTGATTTGCATTAGTACTGAATGTGTTTTCTACGGTTTTAATTGTTTTGATTTATGGTGGCTGCATTTCCATAGAACATCTGTTGATAAATTTACAGGTGTAACATTAACGTCACTTGGGAATTTGCTGGATAAGAAATGTTTATACTGTAACATGCAGTAAATTGCAGATTAACAACAAGTATGAATAACAATTGCTTTTTATATGTACTAAATAAAACATGTCATATTGTTTTCATCCCTAATGTGTAACAACATTCATCATACACCATGACTTAAGTGTTGCTACTTACTCACATACCTGAAATAACTTTTATAGGCATTTAATTTCTGTCCCAGCTTGCATGGTTGTAAAATTGATATCTGGCTGTCGTCATACAATAATTTTACTAGGGCGAGTTTATTATGACAAGATATAAATGTGAAATTACATTAATGTTTGCAGTCGTCCTTAATGTGAGATGATAAAAACTACAATAAAATATAGTTCTAAATACATTAGCCGTTCAGCCTGAAGTACATTTAGAACAGATGTAAATATATGTGCATGTTACTTCAAGCGTCTGTCCACACAATGCTCTGTATACCCAGGGCATAATGTTTACTATAGTTTAAAGCTTATATTTGAGTTAGTGGCAGTGTATCAGAGCTTAATGTTAAAATTACCCTGTTGTGTTGTATGGTAGGTCAGAGATGCTTCTGTACTGTATAATAGGGAAGGCAGTTTTGCTACTTGGCTGATTTTTGAATTAATTTTTTTTTCCTGCTGAATTCATGGTGACTATAAAATACAATCGAAAAGAAGGAAAAATGGAGTTATGATGCAGTAGTGTTGGATATAAAGTACAGTTTATTCTCAATCTCATCAGGTGTTTTTACAATTTGATAATTTACTAAAGCCTTAACATATACTGTACAGGCAAATTAATTGGATGAATTGGCTTCCTGGTGAAGGAACAATAGAGAACCACTGTTATTATTATTCCCATGGAATTTGATAGGAATGTATCATCTTCTTCCACTTTTAAAGAGACACTTGTGGGTTACTGTACACTTTGTAATATAATATTACAGTATACTCTACCAATTAATTCTCCTCTTTAGCGAAGAGCTCAATTGAACACCAAAAAAATAAAGAATTAAATGTGATTGAATTTGAATTTACACTTACTCTAGTAGTTCATTACTAGTGTAGCTTCTTAGTGTTGTGCCCATGGCTAATCTTTTTCCTACAGGTATGGCCAGTTATGGTAAAGTATTTACCTAGGATTTGGATTTGCCATCTGTCTACTATCAATCATACAGTATACAATAAGCACTTTGAAATCAACTAACTGTGGTTATTGTATAACTTGTTTCCCCTGTAGACCTTTTAATTATTTCCATAGCCAACTGGATTGGTTGCCTTGTTATGATGTAATCATAAAATTTATATTGAAGTAAAATAAATTAAATTATTTAACTTAATATCATCTTTTTAATAACATTATTGTATCATTAGTAAAGTAAAAATTCCTTCACTAATTCCTTATTGTTCATCACAGTTCCATTAAAAAGCAATTAGTGTTATACTGTAGATCACAGAGATCAATACATTCTACGTCGACAGCCTGGTTCATGTCGAAGTTAAGTCGCTTATTTTCCCTAGTTGCGTTCGATGCCAAGTTAGAGCCAGAGGCTTTTTGACGTTATTACTTGGTCAATGATGCAAAGGTCATTTGTAATATCGACTATTCGTAAAACGGACGTTTGCTGGGATTTTACCCATAATATTATAAATAATTTCTGAAAACCAGAGTAATGAGACTACTTTGCAGCTAGTGTTAGCATTGTTGGAGTACGTTGTTGCCAGCCAGAGGATGATAATGGTGGTACAACACAACAACGCTGGCTTAAATGCCTACGTTACGTAATCGTGTCCTTGTAATTCGAGCCGACTTTACCGTTAAGCAAGTTCATTTACCGTTATTCTAGTGAAGTTAAGTCACTCAACTTTAAGTGACTTAAGCCTTTATCTAGCTATAATTGACTGATTCACGTCGAACTTTTAACTAGTATAAGTGGATTTATTCTATATCTAGATAAAAGTTTGACGTGAACCAGGCTAAAGCTATATTACATTAAATAAATAAAAAATGGATTGATGTAGATATAGACATCACACAGAGTTGGTAAGACTAAATAAAACTACAAAAAAAATGTATAAAAATACAGTTAGGCTAGTTTTCTTGTTTTTCTCATTCACACTCTCCAGAATTATTGAGACAAAAGCATCACCAAATTCTACAAATCTATTTATAGATTAAATTTATAGGTTTTGTTTGCCCTCCAATGTTGGATTGATAGTTTTATTTTTTGAGGTATACTCTAAATTACAGTAATTTAAGATGCATTAAGAATGTCATAGGTCTATTTCTTCGATTCCTCGTAATTCATAATTTTGTTTACACATTATAAAAGTTGTTTTTTCTTTGTGTTTTGTAGGCCAAGGAACTGAATGGAGATTACTGTACTAAACAAGAGCCATCCCTCCTTGTTCGCCTTGAACTTCTTGATCTACAAGACCTGCCTGAAGCAGTGCATGAGCAACCTGTTCTTCATTTTGAACGCATTCAACTTTATCATATGAGGTAGGATTATATGTCACTGTAAATATGTTGTTTTTTGTTTTTTTTTTTGTTTTTCGTTTTATTTATCTATATATTTATTTATTTTTCACTCTTAATTTCCTAGTCTCGAGTTTTGTTTTTTTTCTGAGACTCAACAACATTTCATCAACTTAGGGCAACATCTAGCCCGTTTTCAGATAGAAAAAAGGGAAAAAATGTAATATTTTTTATATTTATCCTCTAATTAGTGGATACTTCTTTATGAAGTCGGTATTTCAACAGAATACAGTAGATAATTCACATTAATCCGGTGCAGTTGCTCCAGTCCCTTTAATCCACAAAGATCTGTACTAACTTTCAAAAACAATCTGTACATTGAATGCATACAACTACACTAATCATACAGTAGAGCTATGCCTACTGTACAATATATCCTTACAGTGTCAAAGTTCATCCCTATTATACCCAACAAATGGATTTTTGTACATATTTGTGTATACATTATGATAGCAAAGTTTGGTGCAAATGGAGTCTAAACAATGGAGCTCTATACAGTAGTGTACAGTATTAGTAATTACAATTCAGTGTCCTTCTGAAGATTCTTAGTTTAAACTAGAAATTGCAAATTGCAAGTGAAGTGCTGCGAAGTACAACTGCATAAAATGTTCTTCAAACAAAATTATTTATGCGAGTCAAGTGAAAATAATGAATAATAAAAATATAACAAATAATATGAGCACGAAGATGTGTATATGAGCACGACCCATTGTCTATATTAGAACAGCGTTGGTACCGTGTACAATAGTGTTTTGCTGCAGTGACATCTCTTTGCTGGCGACTCGCTGCTGCTGCTGGCAATGACTCGCTCCTGGCGAATCGATCTGCGCATGTGTATAAAATGGTATTTATTTCCGAAAACACTATGCCAGTCTACAACAAGCATCGCCTAAATGTAATAATTAGCACGTTGAAATAGGCTAGTAAATAAGTTTAACTGGGTTCGTAAATAATATTGGCCTCAAAATATTGTGGCTGAGACATGAGCCGATTAAACGTAGAAATAGGAAACCTAGAAAATATAGTAAAAACGCTGAATAGTACTCCAGCGTCGCGACATGCCGACGTTGGTACGAGTAGGTTAGTCTACAAACGTCGCCTAAAGTAATTGATTTTACCCGGCAGAACGAAAGAAGGAAACTCCGCTTTTCAGTTGTCTTAGGCGATAGTTTTTTGACAAACAATGACCTTTCAGAGGTCAAATTGCTGTCAAGAATATGAATTGGCTGCTTTGCAGCAAATACATTTTAATGTTTAAAGTAAAATTGTGGTATGTAAAGAGTAATTATCAGGACTGTTTAATATGTATTAATCAGGGAGTTGTTTTAGTGACTATAACAACACTCTGATTTAATTAAGTACAGTAGGTAAAATATATAATAACAATAAACAATAAAAAGTGGATTGATTAAAATAATTGTTTTTAATTGCACTTTGGATGTATCTTCTCATTTGGCTATCATTTCACTGTTGGTCATTAAAAAATCAACATCTCACAATTAAACTTCGACAAAATGACAACATTAATTAACACACGATTATATACAGCTTAGTATAATGTCATGACTGCATAATTTACTCTTTACCCATGATTGTATCTCCCTTTTTAATTCCCTTTGTCTCATTATTATTGATTTCTATTCATTCACATGACAAAGTGAGAGCTAGTTCAGTTAGTCACAGATAGCTAAACACTCACTTTATTTATCATCTTTATTGCTACTGTAGGCCTACTGCAGTATTCTTTTATCCAACTCCATGATATATAGAATGGCAGATACAATCTGCCTCAGTAAAGATATATTTAACACCACATGTTTCTTGGGCTTATCATATTGTCACATCTGTATCTAGTTGAATTTTATAAACTCATAGAAGCTGATTCTGAATTTTGTAGCCGATAAGTACGGTAAATAATTTTGGTTGCATCAATTTCCCAGAACTATATATAGATTTAGATCTCTACAAATTATAGTTTTTTTTAAAGCAAATGCATATTTCCACACCTAAGCCTCAAAATTGGACTTGGTTCATAGAGCAAATGGTGATATGAGTTCATCACCGTCCAACTACCGGTAATTGACTATATGGAGTATGAAATTATGTAAACAAAAATACACAAAAAGAAGTAACCGCAAAATTTAAATGTCACAACAATATTGATGATGGTATTTATCCAAATATGATTATTTTAATAAACCCTTAAAAAGTGAATTATATTGTGAAATAATTGTTTTTCTTCAATTATAATACTTGAATTAGAATCACCATCGTGGATAGTTGTGCCATATTATTCCATTTATTTATTTATTGATGGATTGATTGGTTGTTTTTTTTTATTTGATTGAGTTGTTTATTGATGAATTTCCTCCTAAAGCGGTCATTTTGTTGCTTTATAGTGAATTTTCTTCAAGCCAGTGTGCAGTGATTGATTAATTGATTCGTTGTTACTGTGCTATATAAATGCTAATTTTAATTCTATGAAAATATGTAAACAAAAATACACGAAAAGAAATAATCCGAAAATCTAAATATTTGAAGGTATAATACATACTCCAAGTATTGAAATACACGCCATCGTTTTGGTATTCAATATTTTAACATTAATTATGTCATCATCAGGAAACAATTACAATATTGATGATTAATCGAGGTGGCGATTCACATTACATGGGAGAAGCTTGTTTTTGAACAAGCAATTAGTCAACTTAAACATTACACTTGCCGTTTAATCCTCACATGGTCCATGGAGGTATGCATGGTCTAATCACTATCCCACCAGTTTAGCATTATATTCACACTCGCATTTCTCATTTACATATCGCCTACCTGTAGGTATAAAAGCTACAAGGTATCGAATATTATATTCACCGATGATGGGAAACATTTCCCGAAACATGTCTGCTTGGCGACTTATGGCTAGTTGTTTTTATTAAATGCCTAGCTGTTCTATTGTCCATGATAATTAATGGTGTTATAAAATCCTGACATTTATGTTATCCATGATTTTTCCAATAAAACCTGAAAAAGTCACAGTGATTCAAATAATTGTGAAAGAATTATTTTTCTTCAATTACTTTAGAATTAGAGTCATCATCATAAATAGTTGCCATATTCAATCAATCAATAACAAGGATTTATATAGCACCAATATCCACAGCTAAATGCGTATTATGCCATTTAGTTTTTCATTGATGGACGGATTGGTTGATTTTTATTTGAGTTGTTTAATGATGAATTGCCCCTAAATTGATTAGTTTATTGATTTTTTAGTTGCTTTTGAATCCACTGATTGATTGATTGGTTGTCACTTGCTATATAAATGCTTACCATCCAACCATGTGCAACATTTGCACATATTGCAAGAAAACAAGATTAACAACAATAATTTGGAAAATTACTTTGGTTTGCCATTACAATGTTTTTATAAGTGATTTTTAACTCACAAAAGCAGCACCTTCGGCCGCTTTTTGTGTGGCTGCCAGTGTCCTATTCTATGAAGCCCAATAGCCTAATAACTGTATTGCTAAATTTAAAGTTCTCAGGTTGAGCTACATTTTAACTATGAAATTTGAAAGACCTTAACTCATTTAATACATATCTTCTTTGTAAATAGAACAACAAATACCTTTAAAATGAAGAACAATTGTTACCCATTCATTTTGTTCTAATTTTCACATTCCACAAACAGTCAAGATACAAACTACAGTCGAAACTGGATGGACAATTAATATAAAATTTTTCTTTACTCAAAGTGGTAAGGATATAATATAGCCCTAATAATAATGTTAAAGTTAATTTGACTATAAGTATTTTAACCATTGAGATGTTACAAATGAAAGTGTTATTTGTTGGCAGTACTACTCAGTATACTATAATTTACTATTCACCAGATTTTATGATCAGATTAGATAGTGTAATGAAATTACAACCTATGAATAGAAATTTAGTGAAGCTGAACGCACACGAGCGAACATTACTCCAAGCAATGTTTTTGTTCTTGCAGCAGTGTTCGAGAAAAATTTGTGACTGATTGCATATCATTTAAACAGATCTACAAAGATACCTCGTGGCAGAAAATGTTGTTGCAAGCAATTTCTTGTCCAGGGGAAAATTCATATACCGTAGATCCCTGATTGTGCAAAAACACCTGCCTACTATTGAGAGTAGAGTATTTCTGTCTTCCACAGAAGCCAAACATTTTTTCATAATTCAGTCAGCCTTTTTCATCGTCATGGGAACCAGGTGTATTGTCAATTAATCTTGATTTTATTTCCGCATGTCTAGTTAAAGTGGTTTATTGAACTTTATATTATGTGACTAATAATGTTACCTACTGTTACCAAATAGACATTGGAAATTTGTAATTATGTTGAGTTGATGCTTGAAAATGAGTGTGCTATAATTGTATGCTTTAATGATGATGAGCATGTAACAATACAGTGATAGCGATCCTGTCAGATAGCAGCTCCAATTTAATACACAGAATCAGTATTGGAATTACATACGTACTGTAGCACTGTGTCTTTGTTGTCTTTAAAATGCCCTTCAGGAATCAAAACTCATTTCTATGACTGTTCAAACATGAGCTTCGTTAGCATGATCATCTTCATTTCATAAACATCATAATATCATCATCATACATGATGGTAATAATCATGTATGTCATCATCATATATGCCTATATAATCATCATCATACATAATCATCTTTATGCATACAGTATCATCATGATTTTCATAATATATCATCATCATAATCATGTGTCATCATAATCATTCATCATCATCATTATCATCATCATATTTCAATTTAATTGAAAAAGATTCCCGGACCAATACACTAACAGTAGCTTATGGTTGAATTTGATTTTTATTTGTAATATTGATTATTATGACAAATTAAAATGTTTTTTTAGAAATTACAGCTATAATTCATATCTAATAACCACATAGAGTATGGTTTATTTTATTAGGATTTGACAAATTAGCATAGCCTAGTTCACTACAGATGGATTTATCAGAACACAATGATCTGCAAGTGTTAAATTATTCATACTGTACCATACTTTAGTCTACAATTTGCTGAAGAGAAGCTGGTTGAAATATTAACTCAGTCTGGTCAGACAAGTGTAAGTAAACCACACAGTTCATGACCTCTTACTGGAAATTGAGACCTGTCATCGGATCTGTAGTTCTTTCATACAGGCCCTCCAAATAAATGGAGGTCTCAAGAATGCTTCCATTCACACAGACCAAGTGTGCATTTCATAAGGGTTATTCGTTGCAAAGTAATTAAATGCAAATTGCCTTGCTCGTTGTTAGTCAATTTTTATTTGAATTGAAAGATTATGCTAAATAACCACATTAAATTTTACAATGAGGTGTATACATAGTATTTGCATACTGAGAGATTGTTGAATAGTTTTTATTAATGTTTTTAATTGCTGGTCGCCGCCATCCACAGTATGATCGCAACTGTAACCATCTAGTGATTGCATTTACTTCTAAAAATAACACGTACCATACTTTGTATTCAATTACACTTTTTTGTATTAGAATATTAGATTCTTGTTTAAAGTAAGATGGCTATTTTTTGCAGTCATCTTTTTCAGAGTTATTTGGTGTATATTGTGATAACATTGTTAAAATTTGATCTACTGTACATAGGCCAAAGTAGTTCAAGAACGAATTTAACTATAACTATTCATAATATTCAAGTAATTCTAAGAATAAATTAAATGGATAAGCACAAAAAAGTAAAGGGGATATATGCAGGTGAGGATGAAAAACATTTTTTCTTACGTGGCTTACATCTGTATGATACAATTTAAACAATAGAGGAATAGCGTAATGAAATTTTATTCTACAAGCTTCCATAATTATTGTGGTTCGTTCTGGTCATAAACCTTTTGTGATGATTATTTTATTTGCTATTGGAATATAGTGTAGCTTAATATCAACATTAAAATACTGCAGTAACGAAACAATACACAGCTGCTGAGTTACTGGTACACACTTTGTGATTAAATAACATTCTGTTCTACTTGTACCTAACTGTATGCTCTTACATATTGTATAGTAGAGTGATTTACAAAAGGGCACTTGGTGCTTTCTTTTGCATCACGACTGTAAGGTCTGGAACATAATGACGTCATGTAGTGCCATCTGCTCATGTTACAATGGTCACTAATTCTTGTCGGTCACGGATAAGATAATCTGTTCTACATTTGTATCATGGCGCAGATTGAAAGTCATTTAATTAATATAATTTTCTAAATTATTTTATTCAAATTGCAGGTAATGATACAAAATGTACATGTAGAATTGTGATTACAGTCCATTTGATTCAGATTCAGTTTTTTAATCATTAAGTTTAAATGTTTCATAATCCAAAGCTCTGTCCAGCTATCAAAACTGTTGTATGCCCATATATAGTCAAGATGTACGTATATATGGTCATGATGTGATGTCATGTCACACGTTTTTGTCAATAATTATAATAATTAATTGATAATAGTGATTGTAATAATTTTTATACATTCAATAATCTAATAATTACATTCTTTTTTTTTAAATTCCAATTAATATTAATATTGATGGCAATTTATTTAAGGAATTATTTAAGTTATTTTTTTTTTATATAAATATTTAAATAACAATGTCTTTTAATGGTAATATTCTTTAAAGTTAATGATAATTTAAATAATAATTTTTCTACTTGTGCAAATTTTTTATTATTAATTGTACAATATGTATGGTGCTTTATGTGTTTTTAAATTAATGAATAAAATCCATGAATTGAAAATTTGATAGTCTGGACAGGGCTTTAAAAAATTATGGTAATAAACAGTCTCATAGTTTAAGGCTACATTCAGACCTGAGATACACGCCAAGCGTATCTAACGCCTTGGTATGTTAATCCATGGCGTAACTAGTGAGATGTTTAGACTGCGATTAATGAACGCTAGCGTAAGTATTTGCACAAAATATTCCTATTCGTAATTACGCATTTTGTTTCCTGTCTGTGGTAATTGTGATTGCTCAAATCCTGGCCAAGTTCAAAATCATTGATGCATGACTGTCATCACTCAGTGGTGTACGCTATTCTGGGGGTCTCTTGATGGATTATTGTACGCCATTGATTGTGCATTAATACTGGCGTTCGCTACGCCGCTCACATGTTCACAACACTCGATTAATGTTACGCTAGCATAACTGGTGTCTGAACATAGCCTCAGTTGTAGATATATACAGTACTGCTAATAATCTACAATAACTAATAATAAACTCTATAATTGAAATACAGATGATCATATAATATATTCTTAATGATTCATTTGTTTATATACCTTGATGTATATACTCAACTTCTTTATGAGGAGGATTTGGGAAGGAAATTATAAAACAGACTTATCTTTACAGGGATGGTTTCCGTCGATGCATGAAAGTACAGAATAGGTTGGAGATGCAGATAGATGAATTAAAGAAACAATTGAACGAGCTGGTTCATGATCGCAGGGTTGGCAAAGAGGATGCTATCCAGCAGATGTTAGCTCTTCTCCAGGTGCGTTTAATTTTTTATGGTTAATGGCACCTTCCACGGTAACTATCTCAATGTGCTTTTCAGCCGCTTTTAAAGAAACTAAAAAATTTACAGATTCACAGCTATTATACATAAATTCCTAAAGCCCTTTCCAGATTATCAAATTTTGTTTGATAAAAACATGTGACATGCCTAAATATGGTCATGATGACATCACATCATGACTATATATGGGCATACAACAGTTTTGTGTCAAAGGAAGTTTTATAGTCTGGATATTTAAATTAGTAAACATCCGTATTCATAACTGATGGGAATTCATTAAAAAATGTGCACACACACTATCAATAATTATTTTTGAATCAGTCCATTGAATCTAATTATTTATGTTGTTAAGTATTTTTGATACTTTATTTTCAACAGATTCATGAAAACGCTCCAAAAGCTTCATCACCAACTGCCCTACCTCACAGTCTTGAGGTCCCATCAGAGGCAAGCGAGCCGCTCTCAGATTCCATAGATGGCAGCCTAAACACCTCCTGGCTTCCTCCACCGATCGTCAACCACCACGTGCCACAAACGATAGAAGCTGACCCACATGGTGGAATAATGCAGACAGATTTATAAATTCTGTATTACATTTATAAACCTTTTTATTCAAAAAATGAGAATTTATAATATTTATATAAATGTGATATCCAATGTGCATGTAATTACTAAAAACATTTTTAACACCTTGCTTTCTAAAAAGTGTAATACCACATGATGTTAACTTGAAATCTGTCTGAAGTGAGAAGTTTGATTGCTTGTATGATTGAAAGTGCATTTGGATGAGTTTTTATTTTTACTATTTATCTTATTTAACTGAATTTTGGTTTACATCAATTATCTAAGATTATAACGAGGCAACTCATATCTAAGATATGTATTCAATTCAGCCTATTTGAGGAAGGTACTTATGCTATTAGTATACATAATTCTTAAAAATTGTCTAAGAGACACAATCTAATAACACTTAACAAGAAAAATAATATTAGAAATAGAATTATACAATAATAATTCTTAAATTTAACACCCTTGCATTTGCTTAGGCTAATGTTATAATAGTTAGGGGCAGCTTTTGCTATTCAAGTGGATGTGAACAAGTCTGCTATCACGTCTCCAACACAGCAACAAAATATCATACTATCAAAATATTGATTCTCAAAGGCAGCTGGAATTTCTTATATAGTTTGAATTGATTTAATATTATCCTGGTCAAGCTTGAGTGAGTAATGTAAACTGAAGATAGTGCTTGTTATATTAAATCAATAATCCTGCCATTTATTTTTTATATTCATGTATATATTGTTTCTGATTTGCTGACTTATATATTTATAGTTAGAATCCTCAGGAGAAAATGAAGTAACCTTAGGGTGTAGAGTTGATTAGGTCATTATTGCTTGCTTTTCGTAGTTATGAATAATTTATTTTCGTGAATATCTGCAGTTTTAAATGATAATCATGTTAATGTTGTTAGTGTTTGCATCTGTAATTGGTACATAAGGCATTTTGATAATGTGGACAGGTCTTGGAAGTGTTTTTAAAGCTCTGTCCACACTGTTGTATGCCCATATATAGTCATGATGTGCCCATATATAGGCATGATGTGATGTCATCATGGCCAAATTAAGCATGCCACATGTTTTTGTCAAATAAATTTTGATAGTCTGGACAGGGCATTAAGGTTGTTATAAGACATTGACAGATGTGAATTCAAGTCTATGCAAGGGCCTAGACATACAGATACTGTATTGATTATGAGAAAAAGATGTCTGTTGGATTTTTTAGCCAAAGTTATACACAATTTTAGCCAAAGTTATACACAATAATGTCAAATTTTTAATGTCAAGAACAGCATACCATCCCTTTATGAGGTTTATTGTATTTTTTTATATTGCAACCATTGTTGGGATCCTGTTCAATTGTTAGCTTCTCTATTGCTATATCCAAAGAATGTGTGTGTTATAAAAGTTCAATTTGTTAACCTTTAAAGCAACTGATATAGATATAAGGTAATATTAATTCACTTGATTATCAGATTGTTTTTGTATAAATATAAAGTTTCTTGTACCAGGGGTGGATGCAGAGGGTGCGATTGCACGGCCTAAATTGTATTAGGAAAAATAATTGTTATATTATTGATGTATTATGTTTATCATTATGAACATAGTACCGGTAAGAATTTTACGGTATGATAGTGCAATTTCTGGGCACCTTAATGTCCATATTCTCAAAATTTTCGCAACTCAGTCCTGACCATAGTGGGGCTGATGTGGTGTCGACTCGCACGCACTCCCACCTCCAATTTCTGCATCCGCCCCAGTTGTGGTTTTCTTTTCTACCAAAAGTGCCCTCAATAATATTGTTGATTTGACAACTGAAGTGTATATTTTGGTCTTCATCATATCTATTAACCTTTAGTACAGTGTATCCAGCCATTTATATACAGAACCATTTTCCCCTGCATTGTCAATACAAAGCAGATGTATTGCAGGTGATTTCAGTATCCGCTTAGAGCATCTTCATATGCTGTCCAGCCAGAGGCCATAATTATTAAATGCGTTCATACATAGATGATATTGATTTTTCTGATGACTGCATAAATATGTGGTATTACATTCAGAGCATGTTATAAACATAACTCGTAAGGCGAGACTTCCTTTTTCCTTGTTTCACTTACTTATTTTCTAAAAGATCATCGGAGGATGGTGGAATAAAAATTAAAATAAAATTTTGTTTTCTTATTTTTAGCAAATAGTTTTTCCAAAAACATCCAGATGAATGAGAAAATAAAAATAACATTTTATTGGTGAATGTAAAATAGTATGGTTAAATGCTTCAAATTTATATAATTAGGAAGAAATATACAAATCTTAGATTTGGAGATTTCAAGGCAGCGGAGGGTGTAATAAGAATAAAGAAACATTAATTTTTTTTTCTGAAATTTCCACTTTTTTGTGGCAGCGGGTGCGCTAATTGGCCAAAAATAAAATTTTATTTTTATTTGATATCATCAATATTAGCAGTCGGCGGGTTCGCCAAACAAGATATAAAAAACGCCTCACCTAAACATTAAGTATTATATTCTACTATCATATAAACATAGTGTTATAATTTACTATCTGTATTAGGCTGATATACTTTATAAATTGTAATTAAATAATTTGATTACTTATTATTTTTTTTTATTAAGTTATATTTTAATGGAAAATTTAAAAAGTGAAAATAGTTATCATTGCCAATTAATAAATTAATAAGTAATACAATTTTTATATACTTTATGAGACACATAAATTGGCTAGTAATCATTTCAATATTTTTTATTTTATTATTTTTTTTTATTTTAAAGAGTTTGTAAATTAGTAAGGCCTGTTCACACTATCAAATTTTATTTGAAAAAAAACATGTGACATGCCTAAATATGGTCATGATGACATCACATCATGACCATATATAGGCATACCATGACTATATATGGGCATACAACAGTTTTTTTTTTGTTTTTTTTTTTTGTCCTAACATTTGGTAGTCTGGACAAGGATTTATTGTATGTTAGTAAGTTGTATCACCTTTTAAATTGAGCAACTCAATGTTTTGATCATTTTTTGTTTGTCAAGATTTTGCCAGTCAGAATAATCCTCAGAAATATGTAATTGACTGATTACCACCAAGAGGTCCTATGATCTGGCACAATAATATTGAATAGCTTCATTTAAATTAATATCAATATTCACTTATAATGTTTCTAAATTTTGGTATTTAACAAAATATCATTGTTTCTGATAGTTATATATATTCGTACTTTTTGCCAGAAAACGAGTGCAGGTACTGTATATCTAATCAGATACAATATTTATTGGACAACAGATAGAGAGGGCGCTAGAACGATAATTTAAAGTAACCAAAAATCTGCGACAACTGTTGTCGTCTCGGCCAGGATTAAACGACGAATTAAGAATCCGAAAATAGACCTGTGGCCAGTGAATATTGAAAGGGTTCAGTATCCGAAAACATATCAATATGGTCACAAGGTGTGATAGAATTTGGTATAACAAAGTTATTTATTTTTTTAAGTTATTTTATTTATATTTACTGTATATTATTTTTAAATTCCCCTGTATATTTTGGACACGGACAAAATATAAAGGACAGGTATTCTTATTAAATCAACATTTTGTGTGACAAAATGCAAAATGAAATGTTTTACTGTCAAAGATAACGTACACGAAGAAAACTGATTTCTGTAAATTGATGCTTCAATATCGTTTGGTTAGTTTCCATGGTTACAACGACGTAATTAAATGATATTTTTAAATACTGTAGTTGTAGGTTTAGACTCATATAGGTTTAATGTTGTAAACATTGCCAAACGTTTGTTTTAATAATTTCACTGTAATATATCTGAATTAGATTATACTTATTTTTATATTTTTAAGTTAATATTGGCCACCTACGCTCGTTATTTTGATATAATGTTTGTATAATGTTTACATTCGTTTGCAACTTGAAAACATGTTTTAAGCGTAATCTGCACCAGTTGTTATTCTTAATATAAGGAATTTTGAACATGTCAAAATGATTTTTTACTGTTTGTTCCATTCGTAATAAAACTATAAACATTTACCAGTTCACCGATCACGTACCAACTACATGTACGTGGTTTTACGCGTAACTGTACGCTGTTTGATGATTTGATGATGGTGTGTGGGCATTGGAATCGGGACTGTGTTAGTGGAGTAGTATCGGCGACGAATTTGGAATTGTTAGAATCATTAAGCAAAACATTTAGCATTTATTGTTATTTGACAAAGTCGGTTTTCATACTTGCTAGTGATTCATGAAATTGCCGACTTCCATTTTTATTGCGAAGTTATAGAAATAAACAAACTCGCACGTATTTTGTATTCGTGTACAGTATTTTGTTTGCGTTGATGAATAACGGTTATCCACAGCCCTACTTTCAATGGAGTTTCTTTTTAATTGGTGTCAGATACATGACATTAAACCTTTACATGTGCCGCTTTTTGGTTAATTACCAAGTAATTTGCTCTCAAGCTGGCAGATGTTTGCATTCATCGTATTTATTCATTAGTAAATAAATTTAAAAAAACTTCGGCACACTTTTTAAAAAACCAAATCAGAGGGTACAACACTTTCCAAATGGAAGGTGTACTACATCTAATACGGTATGAATTACAGGATTAAGGCGAGGCTCCGGAGAGAAAAAATATTTGCTATGGTGTAACTGATTTTTCTTAGACAACAAAAACTTATTTGACGAAAAACTCGCGAACGATTAATGAGATACAGATTTTTGAATACTGTACTGTATTTAAAAACTGGGTAAAAAGGGTGGTTACATGTTTTTCCTCCGGGCCTGAAACAAATAAATATAGAGTAAATGGTAAATTAATAAACATAGCAATCATATTTAAACACAACAGGGGTTACGCCAGTATTTTCCCCACGGGGAGGGGATGCCCCCAACTAGAACGAAGTGGATGTCCAGCGCATGATACCCTGAAAACTATGACAATTTTAGGAGTTTCAAAAACTTTGTTTAATGGATTTGGAGTCTACTTAAAGTAAACGTTTGTATTATAGTTAACAGGACATGTGCTTGAGATTTCTCATTCACTGACCGTTACCGTAAAACCTTGAATAAGCCCAATGGGCTTAATCTCGAGAAGAATCTCGTTTCGAATTGAAGCCCCTCAGTCTTTAGTTTGCAAACGTAGCCTCAAAATACGCCCATCTAAAAAATGGGCTTCTTTCCAAGATAGTTTGGGCTTTTTTCGAGATAGTACAGTACATAGACTATACATGAATTTCAAAGAAACAAAATAAATTAAACTCGCTTGGTTTATACAATACTTTATATGCCGGGTTAATACACTCCATGATACAGATTGATATACAGTGGTTATATTTATTGTTTTATATTAGTAATTCCCAAAATTTCAGCATTCACTTTGAAAAGAAGCCCCCCCCCCCCATCCTTACTTCCAGGGGTGGGGCAGGATTTTCTCGAGGTCCCCGACGAAAGGAAAGTGGGCGTGATTGGAATTGGGTGTCGCTCAAAATCATTCGAAGTGGTCCAGAGGGCGAAGCCCCGAAAAATATTTAGGTGTTTCAAAGGCTTGTTTAATCGATTTTAGAGTCTACTTATGTAGAAAATAGGTCTACATAAGTTTTTTTATCCCGACGAATTGTGGTTTTTCTCTCCGACGGGAGCCACCCCCGTTTACTTGGCAAAATAGCCTCGAAAAGAATTCCCTCCAAATTTTGCAATAAAAAAGAAGTTGAGGCTTCAATTCGAAGTTTTACTGTATTAGTACTTTACGATATATATTATTTTGTGACAGTTTTTGGGGAAAAATTAGGAAGAAAAAAAGTATATGTAGGCCTAGTCTATGTTTGTTTCTTCCCAACGAATTGGGCTTTTTTTCTCCCCCTACAACGGCGAAGAGTGCACACCCTTCTTGCTAATAAAACGGTAAAGAGCTAAACCACAGGTGGGAAAAGCGCGGCACACAGGCAGCATGCAGCCCGACAACGATTTTTTTTGCGGCCCGCGAAAATGAAATACAGTTAAAAAAAAAAACAAAAAAACTTTCAGGCCTATGTGCGACCCGCCAAGGAACATTTGCTAGAAAACACTTTGTTGTTTACGACCCCACACCGACCATATGTAAAAAGTTACGGTACGTTAAAACTGAGAATAAAGTGGTGTAAAAGCAGTGCTTCAAGGTTTTTGGAAGCACACTGGAGACATCAAAATGGGGTGCGGCCGGCCCTCGGTGTTAAATTAAAAATTAACTTTGGCCCTTGAAAAAAAAAGTGATTTTGGTGTTGGCAATCCGGTCCACCTCTTGAAAACATTTTTAATTGTTTTGCTTTGTGTTTAGCTTTTTGAATATTGCATTGTTTATCAAGTGACGGAATGAAATGGTTGACTGATTGATTGATTGATTAATTAATTGATTGATTGAATGATTATAGACCTATTTATTTTTAGATAGGCTAATTATGGCGTCTATCTTCAATTAACATTGAAACTTCAATACAAGAAAACGATTAAAAGGCGCCAGCTTTCCGTTTTAAGATAACAATTTCGAACTTTTTTTTTTGTATATTTTAATAGTGAATACCGTAATTATAGTAATTTAAGGATTTGTCCTTGGGGGGATCTATGAATTCAAAATAAAGGGGACAGGGGGAGTAAACTTTTCAAGTGAAGGGAAGTTTAGACCATCCCAGTCCGCCCCCCCCCCCCCCCCTCATTATTGGTTGGATATAATATGGCATTTCAGATTGCTGGAAATGGCACTCTCAGACTTTTTGTTATAATTTTGAAAAATTTAGGGAGTGGGCTTTGGCGGACCAGCTTCCCCTTGATATTCTTGTGTATGCATTTGGAAGTTGATTGATGTAAGCCTGACAAATGGCTAGTATAAATCTGATTGTTTATTTCTTTTCTCAATTTATCTCATTTTTTTTAATGAATTCTCTGTACAAATAAATTTTAAATTTTAATGCATTTTATAACTGAATGTCTTAATTTTAATTATACAGTGTGGTAATGTAAATGGTAATATTTTATTATTTGTATTTTATTTTGTTGGATGGGGTTGGGGAGAGTCACGTTGAAAGTGATTTTGGTGTTGGCAATCCGGTCCACCTCTTGAAAACATTTTTAATTGTTTTTGAATATCATTGTAATTATAGTAATTTGTTTCCATGCGAAAGAAAAACACATGAATCGCGAAAGTTCTATGTGTTGGATAATACAGTACCACGCTAATTTTTGTTCCTGTATGACGTCATATGGATTCCCAGCATTCTCAACATTCGCAAAATCATGGCGGAAGGTGGGCCATCGAAGCTCGATGAACAGAAGAAGGAGATAGTAGATCTGCTTAAAACTTCACTACAAAAAGGAGATACATGGTAACAGTTTAATGGTTATATCTACTTGTTCCTTTATTTTATCTGTTTAGGAAATTCCGAAATCGAAGGCGAACGTCGCTGGGCCCATGTCGTCAGTGGCAGTGCCGCCGCGGCAAGTTCATTGAATGCGAAAGCTGTGCTCTAGCTAGCCTGCCTACCGTCTGCTCAGCTCTGTCGTGCCCATTTTAGGCCTTAGGGTCATCATTAATTGACAAAGCAATTAACAGACGCCATTAAAAAATATATAATGTTTTGTTTTCAACTTTCAATATTCATAGTATCTGATGTTCTTCAATTCTGTTGGGTTTTTTTTTTTTTTTTTCGAGATCAGGTATGTTGTAATTCCAGTTCAGCATTTTTTTCCTTCCTCATTGTCAAAAAAGTTATGGATCACTCACGCCAGCGAGTTGCTTACACCGAGCAAGATTAAAAACGGTGGCACTTAACAAATAGAGTGCTTTGTTAATAACGCTAATACAAATGCTCAATAATAATATTTAAGAAATAATTAAAATATTGCTAGTATTAAGGCCCCATAAAAAAAATCATGGGCCTAATTCCGATACTGCTGGATCATTTGTTGTGTTATTAAGGTCCAGTTGGTCGGTAAAGAAAACATGATATGAAAATATGCCAGGCTGTGAAAAGTAAGGTCCCTGCACAAAAAATTAAACCTAATAATTCCATCTACATTTAAAAAAATAAGGGCTGATCAGCACAAATTCTGCAGAGAATAATATATAACGAATAATTGTTGTAATATCAAATAGTAGTTATGATTCTGTGCACTTATTTTTTTTAGGGATTTCCCACTCAATTTTAAGTTACAGTAATTTTTCAATCAGTATACAAATATAGTAGGCCTCCTTTACAGTGTTGAGTTCCGCATAGTACACTATAGGAAAATTATTATACGAAGGTTAGATTTAATGCTTGAAAACATTTCCTGAGGGCCTGCAAACCCCGAAGGAAATTTTTGAATGCATTAAATCTAACCCAAGTATAATAATTTTCCGATAGTGTACGATGCATGCTCTACTAATTGCTTTATAAGTCAATCGCCGTCTTTTAATGTTAGTTTTTATGACCAACTGTGTTGTACCAGTCATCGGTTGCTGTAGTGATATGATCGGTATACTGTGTGCGTATTTATATTTTGTGTGTATTTATATTTTGTGCGTATGCTGATTTGTGCTCCTGCAGTAGGCAGCGTCTACACGTTAACTACATATCAGCAGTACTGTATGGATACGATGAATAACTAGGCCTAGGCTATTTTGTAATTTGTATTGTGTTAGAAGAACTCTTTTGTAATTTTTTTCATTGATTCAAGGAATTGCTTAATTGTTCATACTTAATATTGAATTTAAAGTAACTTTCTTTGGGTTCTAATTAACCTTGTTTTACGAAAGTAATTTTCAATTACAATTCAATTTTTATCGTGGTGCACGATGTCTTCGCGGTGACGAAAAAATGAGGAATTTTTTTACATACGAACCTAAAAAAATCAAGCCAAGTGTCCACTAATTGAAAAATTAGTGGACGGTTGGGGAATAGGCAAATAACATTGGGAGTTGCAGTGATGACGTCACGATTGACTTATAATATATATTATTTAATAGGTATTTAGTGGACAGCAAATGGTACAAACAATGGAAGAAATATGTTGGATATGACAGTTGGGACATGTACAATGTGGGACAAGAAACTGCTTTTCCTGGTCCAGTGGATAACTCTCCACTCTTAAAGGGTAAGTATCTAAATGTGTTTTCTTCTAGATCAAAATTGAAAGATGGGATAGCTGTTTATGGTAACAGTATATGTGGCAAAGACAGTATATTAAATAATAGTTAGGCAACAGCGTAAAGTAGAGTTTAGGAATCGTACAGTAAGCAATAACCCATCTTCTAAATATCAAGTGCACATGTGTATGTCAAAGGTCAAGAAAATAACAATCTTAGTGTTTATTATCTGAATACTGTATATTTTGACAGCGGAAGGTACATTACAAGAGAACTTAATTGATGATCTGGATTATGTATTGCTACCAACCAAAGCATGGGAGAAACTGGTGCTCTGGTATAATATTAAGGAAGGCCAGGAACCTATTGCTCGTAAGGTTGTTGAGCATGGTATGTTCGTAAAACACTGCAAGGTCGAAGTTTACCTGATGGAGTTGAAGCTTTGCAAGAACAGCAATCCAACAGACTGCGTTAGCAAGCAGTTTAGCAAAGCAGATACAATAGGTAAGATAAAACTAATGTTATTAATTACTGTACTTTCACAACAATAACATTTTATGATTCTTTTGTCTATCAGGGTCTGCTCATTTATTTTCTTGATCAGAGGCAGACAAACACAACCTAAAAATTACATAACATTTTGTTTTTAAATTGATGTATTTTTTTTATAGAAACTATTGAGAATGTTATGAGAGATGCATTTAATATATCAGACAAGACTGAGATTCGAATATGGAATAAATACATGAGCAATACATATGAGCAGCTTGCAAAAAAGGACAACACAGTCCAAGATGCCGGTCTATATCAAGGACAGGTAATAAGATAAATAATAACAGTGGCAGATTCGAGGGGAAGCCGTCTGATACTGGGTATTTATATTGCACCTTTTCCTTGCGGCTATGAAGCGCAAACCAAGTCATAATTATTAGGAAAACTGGCAGGCATAAAATTATTAATCATTTAGGGACCACACGCATTACAGTAGTACAGTTTGCAAACAAAAAGATTAGGATCTGAAATATCCCGAAGATCAGTTGGAAGATTATTCCAAAGTCTGGAAGCATAACAAGGGAATGAAACACCTCCAATTCTCTTGTTGTGACGTGGTATAGTGAAATATACAGACGATGAGAAATGTGTTGTACTTGCAGAGATATGTTGGTCAAAAAAACTACATTAATTGTTTGTAGAAAAACCATGGATGCATTTGTAAACGCGAATAATTTTGAAAATAATTCTGTTATTAACTTGCAACCAATAAAGTTCATTGATGAGAGGAGCAAATTTTTTAAAAAGGGTTTTAAAAAATGGGGGAAAAGTATATTAAAATTGAAGCCTGAAAGTGCCATTTTCAGCAATCTAGAGATGCTATAATCATCAGAGTTGTATAGAACCTCCCTCCCCATCTGTAAAAGTTCTGTCCATGCCCCCTCCCCTCTTTCAAATTCCTGGATCCCCCACTCAATAATTTTGTAAAACTCTAGCTTGGTGGTTTAAATGCCTGCCTTGCAATGCTAGCATCCTGGGTTCGAACCCTTTGAGACTATGGGCACCATATGTAGGCACATCATCACTGTATATGGGTATACAACAGTGTGAACAGAGCTTAAGAAAAATTTTTTTTTTTATGTGTAGGTTTTAGTTGTGGAACAGAAAAACGATGATGGGTCGTGGCCACGCCAAGCAACATTAACAAACTCATACACATCGTCTTCATCAAGTAGCACTAGTAGCAACAGATCAAGTGGTAGCAGTAGTTCTAGGTACGTACACCTGTATGCAAAATGGTACATTATGTATGCTAAATTGTGAATATATGCTAATTCAATTATAACATTTTTATAAATCTACCAACTTACTGAGAGTTAAGCATACCTGCATGAGCACGCTAATCAAAAAGCAAGATAGGGATCCAGTTTATAATTAGTGTATTAGTGTACTGCCAAATTCACCACCAGAAGGACCCCATTGAAACAAGTCTTAGGACTTAGTGGGTTATCCTTGGTGTGCATCATACCGATGAAATCCAATCCAATCCAGTTATATTTAACATATTGAGGTCATGTACACACTTTCAACATGTAACTATTGACCTGTGATTCAGATGCAGGTTGGCCGTTTTGCGCCTCAGTTTTCCGGATACCAGCAGCAGGATTCCCAAGAGCTTCTAGGATTCCTACTGGATGGTTTACACGAAGACTTAAATAGAATCAAGAAGAAACCTTATATTGAACTCAAGGAAGGGGATGGTCGACCAGATCAAGTAAGCAATAACATCATTTCCACATGTAGGATGATACACAAGATTGTTAGGCTACAGCTTTCTCCACACTATCAAATTTTATGTGACACTTATGTGTGATGTGCCCATATTTGGTCATGATGATGTCATATTACACCCAAATATGGGCATATCACATTTATTTGTCACATTAAATTTGGTAGCGTGTGCAAAGCATAACAGTTTTCAATTACCCGTGCAATGATAAATATATTGCACCCCCATTAAACAATTGTACAGACACCCATTTCCTTCTCTGTTTCAGGAAGTTTCAAAAGAGGCATGGGATAACCATCTGCGCCGAAATAATTCCGTAATTGTTGACATTTTCCATGGCTTGTTCAAATCCACATTAGATTGTCCAACTTGTCATAAACGTTCAGTAACATTTGACCCCTTCTGCTTTTTGACACTGCCTCTTCCCATTATTGATAAAGAACGTATCTTGGAAGTATTTGTAATCCGGATGGACCCAGCTTCAAAACCAATCCAGGTAATTTTCCTTGTTTTTTAAAACTTGTATACTTACTGCATTTAATCAACATCAAAACATTCCTGTACAAACTGAATTGTGTCAAAATTTAAATGTGAATACAAATTGAGTGTTCTGTTTGTAAATATGAAAAGCGTTCTTAAGTGATTGATATTTATTTTTTTAGATGAAAGTAACAGTTCCAAAAATGGGCCAGGTGTCAGATCTATGTAAGGCAGTTGGTGCAATAGCCAATATTAGTGAAGATATGGTAGGTACAGAGTTTTTGATTAAATACTTTTGTATACAATACTACAGTATTGCGTCACGATACCACGTGATGCTACTCCCTTGCTATCGGCGACACAAAATGGGTTCAACCGACACCATTTTCTTTACTGACAAGCCATTTATCCCAATTTCTAAATTAATTATTAAGAAGTTGTATCTTAATTTTTCTTATAGATGGTAGTAACTGATGTGTACAATCATAGGTTCCACAAAGTCTTTGCAATGGATAATCGATTGGAGATTATACTTGATAGAGATGACATATTTGTGTAAGTTTATTGACCAATCGCCATATGACCACTTCATCATTGTTGTCTTCGTCATTTATCATCTCAATCATTATTATACTCATTACCATCTTCATCAACATCATGACCACCATCATTATCTGTTTCATTATCTCCTATTAGTCATCATCATCATCACTATAATTATCATATTGCCCTCATCTTCATTGCCGTCATCAACTTCATCACCTCCATTAGCTTCATAATCATCATCATCATTTTTGTAATCATCATCATTATTATCATTATTTCATTATGTATACTGATACTTCATCAAATCATTTGGTCATTTTCATCATCATCATCACATAAACATCATAAATTCATTATGTATACTAGCCCAATGTCTGCCATCATTCATTTTCATCACCAATCCCACTGTGCAATGTGGAATGGACATAAATAATTCTTTTTTTTTTTTATTATTGAATTTTTAAAGATATGAAGTGCCTGTAAATACACCTGACCATCCTGATACTCTCATTTTACCTGTTTATTTAAGAGAACGTGGGTAAGTTTACTAAAATTATGAACCAACTAACCATTTATTCTATAGTTTACTCCAAATTTTGAGTGAACTGCTGTGCACATTAACAAATAATTTATTATTGTTATTAAAGAAAATAAAAAATATTTAAAAGCTGTTAACTTCTTGATATTCAGAAATAATTACTATTCTACCAGTGGATCTACTTTATTTGGTCAGCCAATGTTGATTCCAGTGAAGCGTAACAATACCACTTATGAAGATCTCTACAACCTTATACTTGAGAAGATGAGGTAAGTTCATTTTCAATGCATTAACTATGGTTTAAGAGTCCCACCTGCTTGGTATAAAGCTACTCACTAATCTGTAAAGTATCCCTTATGAACTATTATCATTCTTGCTTGGTTCACAGGAAATAGTTCATCCTATCATCCTATCATAATGAATATAAGCTTTAAATTCTGTGATTGGCTGTAGCATAATTTACATATTGATGACAGTGTGTAGAAAAACTATTTCAATACGTGAGAAATAAAAAGTACATGTGTCCCCTGCAAAAAATATTCAAGGATGCGTCACTCAGTTATATTATACTGTGTGAATGTGTAAGTTTAGCATGTGTCCCATTTAGTAACTATGTAAGTAAACCAGGCACCGCAGATGATTTATTAAACTCCTGAGATATCTAGTGCAGATCTGTGTGCATGTTCATGTGACTTGGCTTATTTTTGACTGTGGCGTTGCGAGTATCTTCAGTGCCTGCACATCAATGTACTGTTAAGATGAAATAGTGTGAATAGGAAGGTAACTTGTTAGGGATATATCCAGAAATCCATCAAACATTTAACTGTATTCTGTTTAACATTCTGTCTTGTGTGATACTTGTGTAAATTCGCAATATATCTACTTATTTAACAAAATTTATTGACGGGATTGATGAGTTTGGTGAGGTTGCACTAAATTATCACATAAGCATGAGATTGCACATATGATACAGTTATTTACGTACATGGCTAATTGGATGCACTTTGACTTGTTTACAGTCGGTATGTTAGGAAACCTTTGGATGATGAGTGGTGTATGAAGAATGGCAAAGGAGAAGAAAATGATGAAGAAAAGAAAAATGAACACCAGGAAAATGGAGGTAGACATTTCTTCTGTGCAGCATTCATGTTCTTAGAATGATCTGTAAAAACAAATTCAGCTAGTATTGCTTATAACTACCTAAATATCAGACGATCTTATAGCCAGAATGGTCTGATACCTTGTTTGACTTCCAAGTACTTTTTATAAAGATTTTTTTTTAGGTTTTAAAACTATAAAAAGAGTCTAAAAATAATATTCAACTGATGTTTTAACAATTAATGTATAAGACTTGGTAATGTTGTAAATAATTTGTAGTAAATATAATTATTTTATGAATACGAGGCCATTTCCAGGAATGCCAATAGGGATAGGGGTGCATGGGTGTGAATGTTCCCATTAGGCACCGGGGGAGGTTGCACATTGTGGATGAATATTTCTGTATTTAGTGACTTGAGGTTAAGGGAGCATGCTTTATATCTGTAGTATAAGGTGCTACATAAATGTACAGAAAACAATATTAACAGTATCTCATATGCTTACATGTATTTTTAGAGATGGATTCAACTTCTGATAATGAGGATCTTAGAGACAATGAAGATGTTTTGCCAACTCAAGAAGGAACAGAAGAGCAAGAAAGGAATGGCGACGTCTTAGACAAAAATGAATTAAAGCAAAAAAGCAATTCCAAACAACTCAAGAGACTTTTTTCTATGGTGCAAGTAAACTCCTATGGTAGTTCAGATATTTCCAAAGTTAAAGATGATGGTAAACCCATTAAATTCACCAGTAAGTTCCTGTATGTATTTATATCCATTATCTTTATGGCAGGTACTAGAAATGTGTCTACGGCCTAGTTCAGACTAGGTGGATAAACCCGGCTCCACTCACCGGGTTTATCCACCTGCCAGTCTGAACTAGGTGGCTTATCTCAAGCCGAGCTGTATTCTTATAGTAACTAGGCCTGGCGTGCCACCGTGTTTAACTTTTCTTAGCCGGGCTTTAATCATTGCGGGGGGTCTTGCATTGACTTCAGGTAACAAAATGATCAATCAGCATTCAAATACTTACGCTGTGCGAGAGCGTACATTTCGTGAGCAATGTTTTTAAAACATGTTTGCTGGTTACGGTTCATTATTATGAAAAATCTCGTGCCTGGCTAATCCCGTTGTTCTGAACGCCTGCCAAAGTTAAGCCGGGCTTATCTCCAAGTCTGAACGTAGCCTACATTGTTTTGTTTATTTATCTGTTCCTCCTTTGACTTTGGCTGGTGCACTGAGTGCACACATATGAGGATATGCAGATATTTTTTATCTATTCTCACTGAACCATTAGTGTAACATCCAAACAAAGGCAAACCTCAAAGATATGTTTTCCAAAAACTGAAAGGTCCACTGATTAATCTCGGATAAGAAAATATACATACTCCAAGTATTTAAATGCACGCCATCATGTTAGGATTCAATATTTCGACATTAATTATGTCATCATCAGGAATGTCATCATCATTCCTGATGATGACATAATTAATGTTGAATCCCAACATGATGGCGTGCATTTCAACACTTGGAGTATGTATTATACTTTCTTATCAAAGATATGTTGTTCCCAAAATTTATTATTAATATGTGACTTGCCACGCAAAATTGAATAAAATTATTGCTGAGTTTTATATAATCCAATTCTCTGTTTTCTACAATTTTTAGATCGAACGTACATTGCCTTGGATTGGGATTCAGAAGCAAAACACCAGTTTTATTTATCCGAAGAGTCTGACGCATTTGAAAAGCATGAAAGCGTGAAGAATACTGTACGAAAGAAAGCGGTTATTAAGTTAGATGATTGCATTAAATTATTTCTCACCAAAGAGCAACTTGGCAGGGATGATCTGTGGTAAGAGCTCAGGAAATTTAGTATAGTGCTTGTACAGTATTTTAACTTCTTGCTCTTTGACTTAAGATAGTATGAAACAAACTCAATATTTCAAACTTTATTAGTTCATCTTCAGGAATAATTTATGTACACAATCCAGCTAAAAAAAAAAAAAGTTTCACGCAACAATTTTTCCCGAATTTTTGACACGGGCGGGAGTTATAATCTAATAAATTTTTCTATTTGCCCTTATTTATGTGTGTTTAATACAAATACTGTATGTATATCTTTTTTTTTAGGTATTGCCCTGAGTGTAAAGAACACAGACAAGCATACAAGAAATTTGATCTCTGGAAATTACCCAAAATCCTTGTAATAAATTTAAAGCGGTTTTCATATAATCGATACTGGCGAGATAAATTGGATGCGCATGTTGTGTACCCTGTTGAGTAAGTCAACATTATTTACTCTTTTGTAAGGCTCTGTCTACACTATCAAATTTTGTGTGACAAAAAAGTGTGATATGCCCATATATGGGCATGATGACATCACAGCATGACCATGTATAGGCATAGCATTACTATATATGGACTTGTCACTTTTTTTTTCAAAGAAAATTTGATAGTGTGGATAGAGCTTAAGGATTTTATAATGATTTAAACTATGAGGTCTACAAATTGATGGTTCACCCGATAGCAATATTTTGAATGCTAAATAGATATACTGTACTGTAAAGCCCTTTATTTTCGCGCCTCCTTAATTTTATAAATTTTTGCGATAAGACAAAGATCGCGAAAAAATTTAAAGAGTGCAAAAATCACAAAATACTAACAGCGATGGTTTTTCATTTTCATTTCATTTTATTCAAAACTCATATACAGTGTGAAAATTTCAAGGATAAAACACAATAAAGTAGCTCAATAGTCAAACTTATTTCCATTGTGGTCCTTAAACTGGACTGGAAATTGTAAAATCACGAAACTAAAAGGCCGCAAAATATTTCAAATAGTAAAATTGCAAAAATAATGATCTTTACAGTATGAGTCATTGTATTGATATTATTCCTTTTGGTGATGTACTTACTCTAGGTAATGAAACTTGCTATAGTAAAACAATAGGTACTGTAGCCTGCTTTTGTTTGTTCTTTTTCAGTTTAATATTTCTTAATTATTTCTTGTTACATTCCTGTCATTTTTTACAGAAATTTAAACATGAAAGAACATGTAATAAATGAAGAGGGTGGTCCGTTCGTTTATGATCTTATAGGAGTAGTCAACCATTACGGAGGCCTGGGAGGAGGTCATTGTAAGTAAAGCTTGGTTTCCATACAGTCGCTGCACTGTCGCTACGCAGTGTTTTATGTGCAATCGGGAAGGCTCACCAATTCGACTGACCAATCAGCACCACTGAAAGATGTCGGTGGTAGCGCATAATGATTGTATGGAAGCAAAGCTTAAAGTCATAGTATTAGATACTTGGATTATTTAATATATATTGAATTGAATATCTTAAAAATTAAACCCTCTACTGTCTTATTCATTTTATTTTAATGTATTTGCGGTATGTCTATAGATTAATTAGTTAAGGGGGCGGCTAATTAGCCACTAGTCATGATGACTAATGTGGCTATCTGGCCTCCCCAGGTACCCTATTGTTTACCAAATTTTCATAAATTAATAAATATTTATGATGAAAAAGATTATTGATGGTCATTGTTTTTACTATTATCTCAGATACTGCATATGCAAAGAATATAGAGGATCAACAATGGTATAACTTTGATGATAGTTCAGTGTCATCAGTAGATAAAGATAATGTAGTTGTGAGTATCCAGATTTTTATCGTTATCATTTTCAATCTGTGTGTTGTGTTGTTTTGTTCTGAGCTGGTTTGTATTGTTGTCGTCAGACATGAGTAGTTGGTACTGGTTTACCCGTTAGATCAGACACAAAGAGACTCTTAGGAGAGAAGCAAGTTACTGTAAAAGCTACTCCACACCTCAACCACTTTGAGACCATTCCAGTATAAAGAGCTATATAAATCTAACTACATTACATATTGTATACTAACGTTTGACCTTTCAGCTGACATTCCCCCTCCCCCTCCCTTTAGTTTGTATAGCATTATGTTACTGTAGATATGGGAAAGTTTATGCTTGCCCTGAACTGTTGTTTAATAATGTTGGCTTATGACATAGATTTCTAATAAAATATTCAAGTTGCCCAGTATAAAGCTACGTTCACATCAAGCCCGGATTCTGGTCCGGAGACGGAGAAAAAATTGTGAAAAATGGGTTCAGTGGAAGAATATGACCGTTCACATCAAATTTGTACGATTTTCAATCCGGACTCTGGATCTGGACCGATGAATCTGAGAGCCATTTGTATCCTGAAATCGTACGTTTTTTTTTCCTTGGACCAATCAGCAACAAGCTTGGTTGGTTCGAACCAATCGAATGCATACATACTTAACCCGAAAAACCGTGTTCGGTGCACAATGTGAACGCAGCGTTCCAAAAACGTAGCAACTCGTGATTTTTTTATCCGGGCTCCGGACCGGATCTGGGCTTTATGTGAACGTGGCTTTGAGAAAAAAAAAATTAAATTAAACTATTCATAATCTTTAGTAATTATGCTTTTTATTTTAGTCCAAAGCAGGATATGTACTATTCTATATGCGAAAAGATCCAGACGATGCACGTCACCGCCGTGTCTCGGCATCGTTAGCGTCACCGGAAGAAGATGATGATGCTGGTATACCTGACGCAACTGTCAACGACGATGACCAAGAAGAGGAGGACATGGAAACTGACCCCAGTTAAAGCTTGCATGACCCAATAGATAGGCATCAAAAACTGAAAAGCAATGAGAAGGCAGCTCAAGACTGCTGTATAAGTTGTAATGCAATGTAGTCAGACAGACAGCACTTCAAAGGAAAATAAATACTGCATTATGGAAATTCATATTTCTACTCTGTTTAGTAACCCATGGCATGGATTGTGACGATGAGTAAAACAATATGGAAAATTATATACAGCTATTTGAAGCTTTTAGCGTTCCTACATGTAGAGCAACTACTGTAATGTGTAATAATAAAAAAAAGCAGTGTTTATAGTGTCTTTACAGGTGGCATACACGCCAGGTGTAATGATTGGTTGAGACTAATATATGCAGTGGGTTATTAGCCAATGCGATGTTTATACTGTTAGGCGGGGGTTTGTGTGCTGAAGGAAGTGGCTCATTGTAACACTTAATGTTAATGCAAGCTCATCTTTAACTTGTTAATGTCAGCATATGTACTACTTTGTGAATTAAGTCTGACGATTACAACGCACACGGTAATGTTTATGTGCTGTTCCGTTTACATGGCTGTCCTTACATTGATCAGTATTTACAAATACCACCTCGTTAAGGAAATATAATCAATTAACTTTATTCTTAATCCTTGGTTTCTTATTTGAGTATTAGCTGAGTTCTCCAAAGAACAAATGTAAAATATACCAAAGGAGAACAACACGATATACTAGGAGGATTGTAAAAATACAATAAATTATGTTTACTAACCCCATTTGGAGTAAATACTATATACATATATATATTATGAGGTTGTACAAACAAATACATTACCTGACTAATATCACAAACTAAGTACAATAGGATTTAATACCATATATAATGAACAGGTATATGTGACCATGGAGTTTAGCTTTATAACACCATTGCAAAGACCAATTATATTTATATGCTTGTTATTAGCATGATTTGAGACTAACAATTGTGAATACCATCAGCACAGTTCTCACATTCCAGTGAATTAAGTAAATAACTCCCTAGCTTCTTCAAAATCTAACATGATATTGGTTTAGTAAATGCTACCCATAGCTTTGTGAAAATAGCACTCCTAGGTTCGTGAAAATCTAATGATGCTGTTGTACTTAATAAAGAGTGATATTTGTTGCAATATTCCTTATTCATTTGCCATTTACTGGACTGGAAACTGATATTGGTATGACTTATTATCTATAATCCCCCATTATCTAGCTTATCTACATTATCTTCTCATAGCCTTTCCATTTCATATTATGTTTCAATTATAATCAATTCATTTTATTTTCTGTAATAATGTTGTTAAAAACTCACAAGTCATCGCATAAAAAATTATTGATGATATGTACTAATATGAATTTCAAATAGTCTTGATTGACTGAATTTAATTAAAATTGTTTTTGGTGTATTAATGCAAACATTAACCTACCCACTTCCTAGGAGAAAAAAAAATCAACTTACTGCATATTGACGACACATTGAAGTGAAATCGTAATTGGTCTAGTTTAATCTCCTTTAAATGGACATGCTGCTTTTAACACAACTGAGGAATTTGACCTCCCAGGTAATCTTAATAAATATATCTGGTTATTCACACCTTTACCAATTTGTAATGCATTATTAATTAGTCATAATTAATATAAACTAAGTAAACTTACTACTAAGTTGTTACTACTATAATTATTCTTAGTATTTGGTATACAAGTTAGCTGAAATGTGTATGATAATTGAATTTTATAGACAAATTGCCAATGGTCAGGAATAAAATGTACGTTAAATTAAAGTTTGCTTTATTATATTACTGTATTTGAATTTGAATGATGTATTTATTAAATTTTGTGGTCAATTTAGGGTGTTTCTAAATCTAGAAAACATGGATCTAAGGCAAAATATATAGATTGGAGTTTTAGAGTTAGAAAATTCAGATCTAATATAGAGATCATCTGAGTTCAATATATAGATCCAAGTTCCTAGATCTAGAAAACTCGGGTATCTCAGATCTCGGGTTTTCTAAACAATCAAAAATTTAATCTTATTTACTGTATTTGTGTATCAATAATATAAATGGAATTCCATTGACTGAATTTCACTATAAAGCTTACTACAATGCTCCAATGTGTTTTTAAAGTAAAACAAAAAAAGTTCAACATTATCAAAAATGTACATTTGATCATTTAGTTCCATTAAATTAATTGTCCAATATCCAATTCATATTTAAACTCTTAAATTATTGCAATACAGTATTTGATTGTATTCCTTTTACTTATTATTACCATTATTATTATCAACTAATACACTTGTCAATTGTAATCTCAACCCCCTGAACCCATGCAATAGTGGGGTAGTAGCTGTTTCTGAGGTAGGGATGTATGTTCCTGTAGTGCATTTAGTGTATTTGGAACTGACCTGAGGATGTAATGCAAGTCTTAAAAGGACTGCGAACTTTAAACTTTAAACTTTAGCGGGTTTCAGGTATTTGTGCTGCAAAGTAGGTGGGATTAGCCAGGAAGGTACATTAAAATGATATCCTGTATTGATGGGTTGTGGGCAGGAAAACATGTAAACATTTTTTTTTTTTGAAAGTTACTTTAGTGACTGAGGTAGATCCTGCTAGGCCCAGGTGTTTGGGACCAGGATTACAATTGACAAGTGCATATATTATTAATCATGGGAATTATCAGTTGCCATGTAACAAAATGTTCACAATGATCCCAACTAAAGACATATCTTGCATTGTATCACAGTTTCATTCTCCACAATAGATCAGTTTACCTAATTCATATTGATTGGGTTTTGCTTTAATATATTATATGTAAATAAATATATTTTTACATGATGCTATAAATTGTAGAGTAGATTTCATTTTCTTCATTTTCTTTATTTAAAGATTCTCTACATGATTTGAATTAAATTTTGGTCCGTTTAGATGATCTGTGTCTTATATTTATTTCTGAACCTCAAGTAGAACAGAGCACCATGTGTCCTGTGTCCAGTAATGTATTTGTTTAATGTAAAGCTTGTAGAATCCTTGCAGTGTGTGCTATACAAGGGGAGTTAATTGGCAGGCTGCCGCAACCTACAACCACATCAGCACTAGTTTGAGTGGCAGGCTTATCTATGGTTCTGGTGGTAGAACAAGTCTTCTTTGATAAGGACAATAAACCGGAGGCTTACTGTACACCATGGCTTGTGTGCACTATATAGAACAGTACATATTTAAGAGGAGTAGGGGATACCCCAGTGTGGTGGATGACGAGAGTTGCTGGTACCGATTTACCGGTAGCACGACACGAAGGAATAAATTTTAATAATTTCTGTAGATCCAACATTTTAATTATAAGATGGAAGCCAGATCCATACTGCATTATTTTAGAATAAGACCAAGTAAACAGTTCAGTTTCCTTTTCAGCTGCCATAAGTAAGAGTAATATTAAAGAGCAAACGGTCTTAATCGTTGAAGCAGTGGCGGTACCAGATGGTGTCTATTGAACAGTCCTCATGGCCACAACTTGGACTGAAAAAAAAATAACTGAGAACAACTTAAAAATCACATGAAATTGCACTTGGCAAGAAGCACCATGCTGGGGTGGATGCAGGGGGTGGGGGTACAATCTCATTCCCCCTAAATTGTATTAAGAAAAATAATTATATTGATATATTATTTTTATCATTAAAAGATTTAAAGAGTATAAGAGTACAATTGCTGGTCACCTTGAGGTCCATATTCTCACACCTCAGCCCCACCATGGTTGGGTGTATACATTCTCACGCTCCCCCTACTGACAAATCCTGCATCCGCCTTAGTCAAGAACCAGCACTAATGATGTTAAGGCTCTAGTTAGCTTTACTCCATTTGACCAATAATGTGATTATAGTAAAGCAGGGGCAGACGTAAAAGTTGGTTGGAGGTCCGCACACAAACTTCTAGTGTGCTTTCAAAAACATTCATGTACTGCTTTTATACCACTTTATTTTTAGTTTTTATATTACTTTTTACAAATGATCGTCGTCAGGCTGTGAAAAACAAGACGTTTTTCAGACAAAGATGTTTGGCAGGCTGCACACAGGGTTTTTGCTTCACTTTTGTGGCCCGCAAAAAATGTCAGTGTCGGGCTGCACTGCCTACCTGTGTAGTAAAGGCAAGCATTTTTGCCAAGCTGTAGTCCACATATAAATTTAATTTAATAAATTACTACAAAGTGTTGAAGCATAGAGTTACTAGAGATCAACAAAATATTTATACAGTACTTCAAATTTAATTTAATTATAAAATATGTTTAAACATGGTGCATAGTTCAAAAATACAAATATATTATAAAATCTTAAGCATTAACATTTCAATACAACACTAGAATGAATACCTGTACATAAATAAGGTATCCTGTAATGCGATCCCCTGAACATAATACAACATGGTGAATAGTTCAAAATACAAATATATGATAAAATCTTTTAATAACATTTCAATACAACACTAGAATGAATACCTGTACATAAATAAGGTATCCTGTAATGTGATCCCCTGTAACATAATAGAGGCAAAAAAAAACACATTGTTTCCCATGCACAAGCAAATGAGACAATTAGAAATCGGAGTTGGTGTTTCAAGAACACTTTCTTAGTAATTACAGGGCTAATTAAGCAATAAGCACCCAACATATTTTGACTGGTGCTGTAAAATGATAATCATTGGGCTAAAATCCTGTTGAAGCTATCAAAGCCTGACAAACTGCCTTAGAACCACCTAGAAATCCTACTTGTCAGAGGAAGGGTTCACTAACTGTGCTTTTATACTATTCTTTAAACAGATGTTTAATGCAGGATTACCTAACGATGGAAATGCAAATGTCTAATGTTTTCATAATACAGTAGGTCCTACAGTACATTATAATCTGAAACCATTTATTTCCTTGTTTATCCAGACTATCAAATTATATTTGACAAAAACATGTGACATGCCTAAATATAGTCATGATGACATCACATCATGACTATATATGGGCATACAACAGGTTCTTGTCAAAGAAAATTTGATAATCTGGACAGAGCTAGGTTCAGTGGATAAACACTGGATTCATCCATATCTGTGTTCTCTTCTGAATTCACCATGATACTTATATTTATTTTCCCCTTTATAAAATGCACAGAATTATGATATAAAGTAATAGAAGAGAGTTAGAATTGTTTAATTATGAATATATATGGATATTAATTAATAATGTTATTACCGACTGAAAATATTGCAACTGCATATAGTAAATTTCAAGTCAGATATGGGTTTAGTTAATCAATTATTTCAGTGCAATCTGGTTGACGATATCTCTTATTTCCAAACTCATCTGTAATGAGTTCTGCATTACCCGTTGGATTAAACATCTCCCAAAGTTTCTCAAATTCTCCTTTATAAGCATGGATAATCGTTGGATTATTCGTAGCCAACACATTTTCATTGTTGCCCAAGATGGCATGCCTTGTCCAATTCAAAGAACCATTGATAAGCAGAGTTCCATCCATCAGGATAAATTTGTGATGCATAAGGAAACTTGAATGATCTGTGCGTACTTCAATTCCGTGTTTGCGAAGATCTCCCATATGATTGCCGCTCAAGTTAATTGATTCATCGTCTGTAATAACACGTACTATAACGCCCTTTTTATGCAATTCAACAAGGATGCCTAAGAGGATTTTGCTTGATATCGTATATACACAAACATCAATCATCTTCTTTGTCGACTGCATGTACCGTGTAAGTTTGACAAATGGTGTAACTTCATGGCTGAATTTACAATTCTGGTATGTACAGCCCCTACTACCCCAGAAAAAGTGTGAGCATGGTTCATGCTGTTCAGGGAAGAAGTAGACTTCGTGAAAGACATTTGGCAGAGTGTTATTACTTTGCTGTGGCTGTGGGGTGTATTCGATGGCTGGCATGGATAGCCTACGATGCTTCCTATGAAACACCCTCACTATTCCTTGCCAACAGTAAGCGCCAGCATTCCATACAGTGTCCTTGAAGGCCTGGGATTTGCACCCTACGTATAGCATGTAAACAACTTCAGAAACGACACCCATACTAAGAAAGGCAGTTGCCCAAATCCTGAAACTCATGTTTACCATTTATAACAACTGCACATACTTTATAAAATCTTCAGAAAGTACGACCAAAATTGTAATGAAGTGCAAGATCTTTCGGCGTAATCGATCTCGAGCGACAAGCAAGCGCACCCTCAATTTGAATCATTTCACGCTTGACCGATTGTGGTTGAAATACTGTAGAGGCTTCTGATGTTTTATATAGCTATATAGGTAAGTTGGAAAATCCCATCCGTCAAAAGCGTAAGATTTGCTTTCTCTCTTATTTATAGGCTGTTTTCAATATTAAATAATTACGGTAACTACTGGGACAACTCCCTGGTACTACTAACTACTACTACGGGATCTACACTGCAGAACAGGGAGCAGAGTAAGTAACAACAACAGCTAGAAAGCTAGATTGGGCCTATTTACTTTAGCCTAGGCCTAGGACTGTGTAGTAGTACTAGTAGAAGTTACAACGGGTGACAGACGATCGGGCACACGAGACGATCGGGCCCGTTTTTGGACGATCGGGCCCATTTCAAAAGTGGGCCCGATCGTCTCGAAAACGGGCCCGATCGTCTTTAGGGAAAACTGAATATTGGGCCCGGTCTGCTGACAAAATCGAAAATTTCCAAAACCATTTTGGCTTGCATAGGTCAATTTCGGCCGCGCCCGTCAAATGACAAAATGTATGGAGCGCCGCATTGTTGCTCCGCGAGTTCTTGGCAAGCAGAATCGAAAATTTCCAAACGTTTTCGTCAATTTCGGCAGTCGAATGACTATATTACACCAGAGAGATGGATAGATATATATTATATAAATATATATATATATATATGAAGAAGGCGTGTCCACGTGTGTTTCGAAACATATGTAGAATATAATATAACGTAACAGTAAAGAAACTCAAATACGTAAGATGTTGACTTTAGAAACACTAAAATTTATTAGGCGAATAATAAGAAAAATATCTCAATCTATGCGCTGAAGCATGTGATGATTGAATCTATCTATGAACAGAATAATTATTATGATGAGCAGAAACAAAAGGAAATAAAGACCAAACCAGTATAAGTTTGTCCTCATACTGTAGTTCTTATGTGATGTAGTTGATCCAAATTCAAATTATACTTTATTCCCTTAAAATGACATTTTGTTGCCTCGAAATATATGATAATACAATTTGCGCCGACGATGGTGGGAGTATCATTATACAAATACTACAGTATTTCATTCCATGAAATAATATTTTTAGGTACGAAATGTTATTGAAGGAATAAAATAACATTACAAGGGAACGTAATGTTCGAGGGAACAAAATTAGGCTGCTATTGAATGATCATCATTTAAATTGGCCCATATCTCAACCTTGTTTGGGATTTTCTGCTACAGCTGTGTCATTTTGAGACAGGATTTCAAACACGCAAGAAGACATCAATGAAATAACACTGAATTATATTACATAATACCGTACATTCTATTTAATATTTGTCTAACAAATAAACATTTAGGCTGCTATCATAAATAAGGAGTGGAGTGGGGTCTATGTGTAATTTTCATGAGACCCTCACACAGGGAGAATTTTTTTTAAAAGAGTTTGACTTTCAGGGTATCCTATTTTTCTTGTATAACTATAATGCTAAAGAGTGGCCCCAGAAAAGCACCCAGCTTAAAAATGTTATATCTGGACACAGAAGGTAGTAGCATGACTCAAAATAATGACCAATTCACAATTCATAAGCCTATTTTAAAACAATGTAGGTATATATTGCGAAATGATAATTTGTTCAAAATTTAATCGCTTATCACTGCCTTAACTAGATGAATTGAGTTTTTTATACCTCCATTAATAGATAAAGTGCAGGAAACACAAACTCATTATATAAATAAAGTCTGAATAATAATAATAATATGTAGGTTTTATATAAAGCTTCATGTATAAAGCCTCTAAGCGCTTCACTTTACTACCCCGGTCATTGGATCAAACACGTATGGAACACATACTCAGAACAATGACTATAGGCTTAATATATTTATACGAGTTGACGGGTGTTGTGAAATACATAACGTATAAAATGAGGCCTAATTAAATTAAACCTTGTTTTATGAATACACAGGTGTACAATACGCTGTGCATTATTTGAATACATTATTATACTATACAATGAATAACTGTCTACTATAATTACACAACGTGCAGGGTATAGTGAAATATAAACAATATGCAAAATATATGAGTGTTACAAATACACATGATGCAATATGCTATCATTTTATTTTAAAATAGGTCTACAAATTTATAATACCATAGAGTTACGAGTAACATACTGCTGGTACAATTTTAATTTGCCCAACCCCCAAATTTTTATAAATATTTAATTCTTATTTTTTATTTATACCTTTATATATTTTTAAAATCATCTAAATTACAAAAAGTAAATATTGTCAAAAATTGAAATGTACAGTACATAGGCAATACAAAAACAAGCGCAAAAAAATATATAACATAAAAAAACAATGTGATATAATAAATTCATATAATTATTTAAAGGTATCCATATACATTTATTTTAAAATATTATATAATAATTGAGAAAAAGTGGTCCGGCCAACCGGTGCGGTTCCGACAGCCCTGATTATCGCTCGCATGTATAACGGTGGGCCTGATTTCTAGAGCCAAATATGGCCCCATGGTCTTTGAAAGCCACAACTTTGTGTATTTCCCCGCCTCAGTCCTGGCCAGTGCCCCACTATGGCCCATACTGCTGTACACTAAATGGCCTGTCTCTTATACACATCTAGATGTGTATAAGAGCTAGGACTACAGTTGACAAGTGCATTGGTACAGTTCATGCAAATTAAAAGGTATTTCAAAAATTAGATTTCAATTTGGTAGACAGATTTGGTTATAGTACAGTATATATTGGATATGATAAGCCAATATTTATATCAATAATTTTTTTTTTATCTTTTGGGTAGAATTGTTGATTTATACTTTCTTTGACGTGTTACCAATCTCACCATGGAAGTCATTCAAATAGAGAGTGGGAAAGATTCCATCACAGATGATTTCATGTATGGAAATAACGTTGCAACCTCTCACATACAAGTCCGGATGGGTGAGTAAACAAAACTATTCATTAATAATAACTTACAATTTTTTTAGCTCAAATTATATAACAATAATTATATAATTCAAATGTTTCCTAAAAAAGTATGTTTTGATGTTTACCTTGTAGTTGTATTGTATGGTCAGTACCCAACAACTTATTGTAAAAGTATACTATTAAATCATTATTATATTAAATTATCAAGTAAAGATCTCCCTCCAATTAAAGCCACTATTGGGACCGGGGTTTCCATGGTCTTTAGCAGAGTTTGGTCTCTAATTAAAATATTAAATACATAAAATATATTTGTCAATTTAGGGCCACAGAATTGTGGTCTTTAATTAGAGGTCCAGTGAACAGGATATATTTTTTCAAGAAGAAATTATTTCTTTAGTAAATAAAATATTTTACTTCAAATGATGCAATAATTTTAGTTTGAATTTCCCATTACAAGTGTAATGAAATAGAAATACTGAACAAATGTTAATCATTGTTTTTACAAAAATGTTTGATAGGACTTCATCATACCCTATAGACAAATAACTGATTTTTTTGTCCAAAACACTTTATATTGTGGACAATGCATTTGATATTGTTGATTAAAATCACAAAAATATATTGTAGCATTTGACATCGTAACAACTACAGGTCTTTCTACAATTAAAGACAACTTTTTGGGACTGGGTTTCTATGGTCTTTAGCAGATTTTGTTTCTAATTAGAATACTAAAGATTGAAGACATATCATTAATTTGTTACCACAGGAAGGTAGTCTTTAACACTTTCACGGCCACCTGTGTTTGAAAAAATAATACTGGCCACTGCCTGCCTTTAATAGCGCATTTGACCATTTTTCCTAAGCTTGCTAAGGGTGCGTATGTGATCAAATTGACATGTATTATACGCTAAAAGAACGACAAATATCTCACCTTTACACTGGTACTAAATTCTTTATTTTAATCACAATTTATAGCCCCGTAACAGTAAAATGAAAGTGACTCACTTTTAGGGTTTTACGCATATTCACACATTGAAGCTGAGATAATCGCGTTTCAGTATCACCATACATTATGAGGTCACTGAGAATAGGTCACATTGAAATACCGAAACATATCTGGTCCCTTTAGAGATTTTCTATAAATCCAGACATACCCCCTCTATCATGTAAAAAAAAGAAAATGAAAAAAATGTAGATCCCCGTCTTTGGCGGTCTACAGTTGGGATTTAAAAGACGGAGATCTCCGTTGTTGACGGTCAAAGTGTTACTGTAATTCGAGGTGGTCTTTAATTAGAGGGAGAGTGGTTTTTATAATAACTTGACCTAACCTGTATTTTCATAAACTTTTTCTGTCAACACATTGCTTCTCATAGGTTTTCTACGTAAAGTTTATGGCATACTCTCCATTCAGCTGCTTGTCACAGCTGTCACAGCTGCCTTGTTCATGTCTTCCACAACCATTAAGAGTTATGTCCAACAAAGGTAAAGTTTTCAACATTTTATAAACAAATGATGTTTTATGTATTCTTTTATGCTTTTCCAATCTTCGTTAATTGATTACACTCCTTTTCTGTACAATAATGGTAATAATTATATTGAAAATTTATAAAGCACCAGGACCGGTATCCGTTTAAAGTCAGGCTCCAGAGGAAAAAAATTTTTTGATATGTTTGTACATCTGATTTTTTTACAACACAAAAAGCATATTTGACAAAAAAAAACCGGGAACAGTTAATGAGTTACAGATTTTTTAATATTTAAAAAGTTCGAAAATTATTGGCTATGCCTCTTTTCTCCCCCCCCCCCCAATTTTTAAATATTCAAAAACCTGTATCTCATTAACCGTTCCCGAGTTTTTTCGTCAAATATGCTTTTTGTGAATTAACAAAATCAGTTTAACAACATAGGCCCTATCAAATAATGTGTTCTCTCCGGAAAAAGAAGAGGCTCACAGCGCCCTTTCATAAGAAAGTCAAGCAATGGAAATACCCTTTGTACAAAATTTATCCTTAATCCTCCCTTTTTAATATCTACCTTTTTCCATCTGTAAACAAATAATAGGTTATTTAAAGGAGTAGTTACATCATACGCAGGGCTGTGTGAAGAAAGACCATTAATTGCTGTATATATTTTCTATTACAGTTCTGGTTTTTTGATGTTGGCTGGGATTTTATCGTTAGTGCTCATTATAGCATTGATGGTTAAACGACACGAATCACCCACAAACATGTACCTACTCTTTGCTTTTGTAAGTATAATACTTCAGTCTGGTACTGCTGTACACTAAATGGCTGTACAAACAATAAACTTTTTAAATAACTTTTTTATATTATAATTGTGTATATCAGTACAGTATCTTTATTAAATATAATTTTTTAAATAAAACAGTAATATAGCAGAACTAAATCTGAATTACAAAGCTGAGTTGTTAAGTAGTAATAAATACAAGAGAACACAGGAAAATTAACAACATCAAAACTGGGGCAATGCAAATTTACAGCAATTTATTATAGTGAGAAAATAAATTATTAATGATAATAATAATAATAATAATAATATAAATAATAATAATAATAATATAAATAATAATTATTACATTGATAATAAAGAGTATAGATTACTACTGTACTATTATAATAATATTTATAATGATAAGATGATAATGATGGTGATGATAACGATATTGCAATTATTGATGAAAATAATAATAATAATAACAGTTTACAAAAATGATAATACAGTAACATTAATCATGATTGTAAAATGATAGAAATAATGATATAAAACAACTACTTTTGTTTTATTGGTATCAGACATTTGTCGATGCGTACTCTGTTGGCACAATTGTAACATTCTACGATGTCGATGTGGTAATCCAGGCAGTCATATTGACGTCAGCTGTAACGGTAGCACTCACCATGTACACATTTCAAAGTAAGAGAGACTTCAGCAGTTGGGGAGCAGGGTAAGTAACCATTGTTTTATATCATATTTTATGTGATGAATTATTGTGATGTGCCCATATTTGGGCATGATGATGTCATATTACACCAAAATATGGGCATATCACATTTATTTGTCACAATAATTTAGAGTGTGGACAGAGCCTTTTCCACACTATCACATTTAATGTGACAAATTAGTGTGATGTGCCCATACTTGGGCATGATGATGTCATATTACACCCAAATATGGTCATATCACTTTTATCTGTCACAAATTTTATAGTGTGGACAGACATTTACTCTTGCAGGTTTCTTCATTTTTCTTTTTTTGGGCATTTTCATTCATTGTGAGATATTTTCTTTCCTGAAGGTAATATGTCAAAATTTTAAAGAAAAATATATGGAATTATTTAAACTCAAATTTCCAATTTATAACACATATTTTAATGGCTTTGAATGGTTGTTGATACTGTATGTTCAATGGAGCCTGTTTGTTGCCATCCTATCCCATCCCATCCCATTTGCTTAAAGGCCCTTTTTCATGGAGCACACTACAGCGGTAGAAAAATAGAACCTAATATATTTTTACAGTAATTTACGCTTGACTCAAGTATCCATGTTGCTCTGCATATGAGTATTTTTTATTTTATATTATTTTTATTACAATATAAATTAGATTCTGTTTAACTTTTTGTCTTAGAAATCTGTAGCTTGCAAAAATCTAAATGTTTGACTTTTTGCTTTTCAGGTTATTTTCAGTTTTGTTGGTGTTGATTGTTGCAAGCATAATGCAGCTTTTTCTCCAGAGTGAGGTAATGAACCTGATGATCGCCATTGGGGGCGCTGTTATCTTCTCACTTTTCCTCATCTATGATACTCACCTTCTAATGCATAAATTGTCCCCAGAGGAGTACATCCTTGCATCCATTAACCTCTACCTGGATATCATCAACCTCTTCCTTTACATCCTCCGCATCCTTAACGAAGCAAAGAAACGCTAAAAAGCACCCTCCTCCTTATCTGTGTGTTCATTATGAACAAATTCATACAATGTAATGGAAAACTCGACAGAACTTTAGCACTCCAAATATGTGATATAATGGAAATGGCTTGTATAGCGCCTTACAAAATTAAAAATCGTCTCAAAGCACTTTAAGAAAATTAAGAAGTAAAAAAAAAAAAAATTATTTTTATTGTAATTTAAATTAGATACTGTTTTGTTTTATCTAAATTTTGACATTTACTTTTTGGATTATTTCATTTCATAATAATAAAAATAGTAAAATTTTATGATGATAAGGCAAAACCTTTTTTATTCCTTGTTTCGTGAACCCACCGCCCGCCAATATTTATGATTTTGAATAAAAATGCAATTTTATTTTTGGCCAATTAGCATACCCACATCCACGGAAAAACTGAAAATTTCAGAAAAAAATAAAAGTTCTTAATTTTTATTACCCACGGCTTTCTTGAAATCTCCAAAAATAAGATTTGTATATTTCTTCCTAAAAATAAATTTAAGGCATTTAACCATCCCATGACTACACTGTTTTTATCGGTCTTCACAAAACAAGGTATAAAAAAGTCTTGCCTAATGATGATGATGGTGGTGGTGGTGATGGTGGTGAGGGTAGTGATATTCACGAGGACAACAAAAATGGTGACAATGACATACATGTTTTACCTTATTGTATTTTGTTTAGAAAAGTGGTATGAAGTGGGAGAGGTATTTAGACATTTAAGGCCAAAATGTTCCTTGACAACTGATCTTCCATTTTGTTCTTAATGTTCATTGAAATTAAATCTTTATCTGCTTTCTCCACACTATCAAATTTATTATGACAAATTTGTGTGGTGTGCCTAAATACATGGTGATGTCATATTACACCCAAATATGGGCATATCACATTTATTTTCACATAAAATGTAATAATGTTTACAGAGCTTCACATTGGTCCATCAATTGTTTAAACAATCTTATATATTACTTAGATTAAGTACTGTAAATAAATAATGTGCATTCTGACTTATTCTTTGTGTAAACCCTGTCTCTTATACACATCTAGATGTGTATAAGAGACAGGTATAATACTTCAGTCTGGTACTGCTGTACACTAAATGGCTGTACAAACAATAAACTTTTTAAAGTTTATGATTCCACGGTTAGTAGTTATGTACTCTTTTACAAAAATAAAAAAAATAACAAAATGACGATAATCATTAATTTTATTTTCATTATGTTTTTTGGGAGTGGGGTGTGCAGTGGATGGGTGTCTAATATAATGAAGACATGGATGGATGACCCCTATAATTTCATATTTGTTTTGGACTGGTTTTGTATATTTAGTGATAGGAGGATAATAAATGGATTCAACCAATATATATAGTATACTTATATTTTGCGTTATATGCTACATTCTAAAAATTATACTAACATATAATTTTGGAAATTGTGAATTAAAACCCAAAAATATATCTGCTAAACTGTTATTGTTATATTATTGTTTATCACAAAAGCTTTATAATCATGTTCAAGGCCAAACAATTCGAGAAACATATGCTCGAACGCCGCACCAAACCTAATTATTTTAGTTAAGCGGTGCAGCCCTTAATCAAGAGTATATATTACCCTGTGTGTAATGAAATACTTTGACAGGGGGTACGGGGGCCCATGAACTACCTATTCCCCTCCCCCCTCAAAAAATTTCTGGATCCATCCTGAGCAGATTAATTAGTACTGTAAAAACTTTATGATATACTAGTTCATTATGAGCCGAGATCTTGTAGGTGAAGTGTTTTTAAACTTTAAAGGAGCCCCAAGCTTTGACAGACAAATTGATGCATACCCCACCCAAATTCCAAAAGATCCACTTTTTAAAACCTTATACTATTTCACTAAAATCGAGAAATGCTATGTATCTATTTCATTTGCCAGCTCTTCTAACCAATGACTTTTATAACTGGTACGAATTTGTTGGAAATTAATCAGCTCCAGTGATTGCAGATTGATAATCCATAATATGAACAAAAATGAATTTAAAACTTTACATTTCATGTCCGTAATAAACCCAAATGAATGGGAATTAATAGAATTTTCACTAATTATGGGTTTCATAAATCCTTTTAAATACAGCTTCAATGCTCTACGGTTTTCTGGATCTAAGTTGGTCTGGCCCCCAGTCTATAAGACCAGCTTCGCTTGCAAGCGCACCCCAACCACATCGAAAATCCTGCCTACGGGCCTGCAAAATGGATAACTACTGTATGCTTTATTTTTTTAATTCAAATCTGTAAAAGCTGCTTATAATTTGGCCTATGCAACATACTAGGACTGTTTTTAATGACCCGTTTCCATTTATCATGTTCAGTGGCGTAACGCCTATACCCTCTCGTGGGGCGGTCCGAAGAGCCCCCGACCTCTAGAGGCCCGGAAGGTGCACCACCCATAGGGTCCTCGATCACCCTTAGAAAAACGAGCACATCTAAAACCCCAATGGAATCGACGATCGGATAAAAAAGCGGAACCAGTCTCGGAAAGCCACAGGGCCCGCCCCAGGCCCATCGTTACTCCACTGATCATGTTATGTTACTTAAAACCGTCAGTTCCATAAAACTCTAATTTTGCGACGATTTAAATTAATTGGTGGTACCAGTGTTGTGAAGGCAGGATCCCCATCAGATACAGCTCCCGACAGAGACTTCAGCACAATTCTGTAGGGAGACATTTAACAAAATATGAGGCTGTAAGATTATGGGCCTTAAGCATTCAAAACAAACTAGAATCCGAGGCATTCGCCCCCCTGATCTGACCCCTTCACAATTTCTGGGGGACCCCTTCACAATTTCTGGGGCACCCCTTCCCTGCCGTCGGCAAATGTTGGTGCCAACACTTTTGTTTTGTGATGATTTTACACAATCAGTAGATAAGATCATTAATAAGCTGATAAGTAAGAAGTGAAATATGAAGTGTCTTCTTTTTTTGTCAAAATAGTCAATCAATCTTATGGTTGCAATAGCCTAATTAATTAATGTAGTGCCCTAATATTATACTGTAGTACAATTTTATAGAATAAAATTTAAAAGTGGCAAAAACCTTCAAAGGTCTTTGCGGTCACAGTATCTTAGAGTTTCACATTGGAACATCAAGTCTTGCAACTCGAAGTTGGTCCGCCGTGAAATCAGCTCTAAAAATAATTTGGGTTAATATATGTTTGCCTTCCACGGGGTCCAGCGTTCAATACCTGTCAAGGTAACATGAATTTTTTTCACGACCAAAACAACACCAATCAACAGAAACAGCAACAACAGCAGCAACAACAACAACAATAATAATAATAATAATAATAATAATAATAATAATAATAATAATAATAATAATAATAATAATAATAATAATAATATGATAATATTAAATCCATTCTTTTATAACGCATTCGTTGAAGGGGAAAAGCCTAATGTACTTTCGACAAGAAACAACAAGCAGTAAATAATCTTGGTTTAAACTACGGTAGGCCTACTTAAACCAAAAACAGTCCCAAAATGTCCACTACGGAAAGCAAAGAACCAGGGTTATATAACTTTCAAATATAAAAAACGGTGAAAAAATCTGTTTTCTTTTACTGTGACAAAAAACAAAAACAAAAAAATCATGATAGATGATTTCTTAAATGGTATTTTCATCATACACATCGTTTGTTTTATAGATATGGATGTATCTAAGAATTAGTTACTATTATCCCCAGAAACATGTTTAAGTTTTTGAAAGTCTGTGTTAAAAATTCAAGAAGTACAGGATATTGTGGCGATATCAGGGGCGGATCCAGTAAGCCCCTCCCCCGTTTTTGCAACTAAATTTTAAAAATTTCAATGCAAATCAATTTTATATGCTATATGTTACCTATTTTGAATCTATTGTGGCCCCCTGTTCTGGATCCGCCCCTGGATATATTCACTATGTCTACAGCCAAATGTGTTTTGTATGACGATCTATTATGTTTTTTTTCCTGGTAATAGGCCCATGCACATAAAGTTTTGGATTCCAGGTAATAAAAAATAAATTAATAAATTAGAAATCCTACAATATTTGTTTGCAATTTTAAAAGCACTCAGAAGTTGGCAATGAAGCATTACTTGGTGATTTGGGATGGGATTCCATTGAAACAATGCAGAACACATATAGAATAAAATATTTGAATAGGCTTAAGACAATGGAGGATGATAGATAGCCTTAGGCTGTTGTGTGAAGCACTCATGGAGGTTACATCTAATACAAGATGGAAGTGGATCGACAATGTAAAAACAATATTCTAGATAACTATGATTTAAATGATAAATTTAACCTGGAACCACATATTAAAAGATCTTAGACGATAATGACAACGAATGGCTTCAAAATGCAAATGAAAAAAAATCACTGATTATTTAAAGTACAAAAATGCACCTATTATTGTGTAATAGGCCTACTGTTTTTTGGATAAAGTAAATTTTCAAGGTAGGCCTATAAATCCAAAATTCAAAGCAAGAACCAATACTTTTGATCTTGAAGGCAAAAACAGTCATGGTCAGATAGTTATTATGGCCATTGCTTTATCTGCAAAAGTAAGAAAATAGAATCAGTCAATCATTGATTGTAAAAGTTTATTCACCATAAGAAATATATGCTTCAGCAAGCTAAAAAATGATTTATGTAATATTAATGAATATTTTGGGGATATTTTTGTGAAAGGTCCACACCTGAAGAATTTAAACATCATCTACTCCTAGACAATATTTATAATATGTATAAGATGAAGAAATTTGTATGATTTTTGATAAACATTGTAAATCTTTATTTTTTATATCTTGAATTATTGTAAACAGTTGTTTTACACTCAGTATCAACTTTGTATTTTGATTTATATTGTTTTATATCGTTTTTATATTGTATTATCTGGGTGGAACCTCTCCTGCGCAAGAGTGTTCCTCCGTTTTAATGGAGTTACTCAATCGTATCGTATCAATGGTATGATGATGGGTACGGGTTTGAGTGATTACTTTATTATTAATAGTTGATGATTAGCAAAAGAGCGCCTCCACGAGGTCAGTTAGTGAATAACACACATAGAGGTAACACAACACAAAAAGAAGGCTCGGAGTTTGAATGTCACCGTTATGCTAGGCCTAGCCTATGGGCATTTTAGGTACGTTTTTTAAAAATGTAGTATATTTATTAAAGATTCAGTAATCGCTTAGAGTTATAGTATATTAAGAATGAGAGGTATTTCTTGGATAGACTAGTATCAAAACTACATAGCCTAGTCTAGTGTCTAAATAGACAGAGGGTAGGCCTTGCCTAGGCTACTAGGCCTAGGTAGGCCTAGATAGTAGGGGATGCTAGCCTGGCCCTAGGCCCAGACAGGTAGCACTATTTTGCCGCCGTGTTTGTGGTGCCTGCCTGAAACCATTATGGGAAGTTGAAATAAGTTTCTGAATACTCATTAGAACATCACTCTTTTCCGCGCTCATCTGTTGATGAAAGTCTAGGCCTAGGCCGCCTCTCACCTGCTCTTCGTGTTGATGAAAGTCTAGGCCTAAGCCTTCTCTAGGCCTAGGCCTAGCTTATATTATTAATAATTTTAAGCATAAATGAAGAGAAATACCTTCCCCATTATTATTATTACTAATTAGCAATATATTATTACTAGGCCTAGGTGTCATATTCCTGTCTAACTTAAGATGGGAAAGTCATGTGAACCTGATGATTGAAAAAGCTAATAATGTTACGCAAACTTTAAGGCCATAAATATTAATTTAATTGTTTGTCTCCTGTTTCCAAAAATCTAGGCCTAAGGGCAAATAGAAAAATTTATTAGATTATCACTCCCGTCCGCGTCAAAAATTCGGGAAATATTGATGCTGAAATTTAAAAAAAAAAATTTTTTTGCCGCATCAATTATTTCAACAGCATAAAAATAAAAATGCAATTTTGTGACTTCAAATACACTTTTATTAAAAAAAAACTATAAAATTAAACCAGTTTTTATACAATATTTAATATTACAGACCAAATATAAACAGTCTCTCTCATTGATAAAAACAAAAGAAATAATCTATTACTCCGATAAAAAAAAAAAAAAAAAATACCACCCTTCCTCTTCAATTTTTTTTTATAAAAAAGAGTGATACCTAATAATTTTTTCTATGTGCCCTAATATCGTGTGGCATATTGAGTGATCAGTTGTTTAAAAAACATTGATTTACATATATTTTAAATGATAATAACTATAATCTATAAACATTTAAGTTACTCCTATGTGACCCCTGATCCCAAACTGGGGTGTAGGAGGTGTCACTGGTTCTTAATGGCCGAATTTGATAGAATTTGGTTCAATCGTTTGCCATTAGTAGCATTTTGAAATGTTTCTAGGTAGAACAAAGAATAACCCTAAATGACTTTTGACCAAATCCCTGACAAGCATAAAGAGCCTACATTATGCCAATGCATATGTGCCCAGGACAAGACTGCTATCACCATAACTTTGTTTTGGTGTTTTACTACACAAATAAGTTGACATTTTGACATTTTCAAGGTCAAGAATTGATTATGAGGGCTTTCAATATTTTTTTTTTTTGCTATATATTTTTGTGCATTTTGACACCAAGATCAACCATAGTCATAGTGTTCCAGAGATACACTTT